CCCTCCACCATAACCAATGTGCAGCATCCACCTGGATGATGCAACGGCAGCCATAGTGCACCAGAACACTCACCACATATCAGATATCAGTGGGGAGGAGGGAAGAGTTATGTAGCCAATTCATAGAGGGGGATTATTAGGAGGCCATGATTGGTAAGGGCCAATGGGAAACTTGGCCAGGACGCCGGGGTTACACCCCTACTCTTTTCAAGAAACACCCTGCGATTTTTAATGACCACAGAGAGTCAGGACCTTGGTCGTACATCTCATCTGAAGGACGGCACCTGTTTACAGTATAGTGTCCCCGTCGCCATACTGGGGCATTAGGACCCACATGGACTGCAGGGTGAGCACCCCCTGCTGGCCCCACTAACACCTCTTCTTGCAGCAACCTTAGTTTTTCCCAGGAGGTCTCCCATCTAGGTACTGACCAGGCTCACACCTGCTTAGCTTCAGTGGGTTGCCAGTTGTGAGTAGTAGGGTGATATGGCTGTATAAATTTCTACCAAAAATTATACATCAGGATCAAATAAGGTTTATGAAAAATAGATATTCTTCAGAGAACACAAGAAAGCTATTTAACTTGATACATCATGACAGTCTTTGTGAAATATCTTCAGCTACTATACTGTATACTGTATGCACAGTGAATGCTGAGAAGGCTTTTGACAGAATTGAATGGAACTATCTTTTTAATGTGTTAATATTGTTTGGTTATGACCCTAATTTCATTAAATGGACTGAAATATTATATTGCCAGCCACAAGCAACTATATTGACTAATAGCTGTACTTCTCAGCCTGTACAGAGGCACCATGCAAGGGTGTTACCACTCACTCCTACTATTTTCCCAGCACTGGAACCTCTAGCCTGCAAAATAAGAGCATCAGCACAATTAAAAGGTTATACAGGCAGAATGATTGTGTCAAACTACTTTTAACCAACCTATCTACCATCACAAATCATTTTCTGTTGAAATACTGTAGATGTTATTGAAAGTTTTGGTGAGTTTAGAAGGTTAATTGTTGCAAGTCTGAGATTTTATTTCTTTTGCTAATGAACTAAAAGCTAGCATATCCAATACAAGATACCACAGAGATAGAGTACTTAGGGTTGTGAATAAAATCTTGCCTATAAGCTTCTGGAGATGCACACATAGGAGACTTATTTTAAAAATCTTCAATAGATGAAGACACTCACCTATCTCTTTGTGTGGCAGAATTAAAGGGGAACTGCAGTTGCAGTTTCATAGACTGGTTATTAAATCTCGGTAACAAAACAAATAAATCAATGGCATTGCAAAACTTTACAAATACTGCATCAAACATAACTGTGACTGTAAGTCACAATGTTGTCAGAAACCTCCTGGTCTCGCCATGGGCGAGAGTGAGAGTTCAAGCAAATTGTAACATGAAGCAGCCCTTCCTGCTCACTAGTCATTGTTATGACTAATGTAATGAGATGTATAAGCGAATAAGTACAGGTTGTGCTGCAGACATTTCAATCCAGAATTGTCACAAAGTGATCTGCATGCAAAGATTTTGTCTGCAAAATTGTCACACATTCGATAGCAATATTTCAAATGGATTAAAGGAGACATATTCACAAGCCTGCTTGTTTAGAATGTCATAGGTCTGTTTCACCTCACTGGAAGTTTGGTTGCCTCATTCTAAATTGTAGAATATGGTACTGTGCATTCATGGAAATTTCATCTATTTTGTGAAATGGAGGTTTTACATGTTACTGTGTACATTTCCTTTCATTATGGTTTGAAATACACATCATCAATGCTGATTCTTTCTAACCCTGAAATACAAAAATGGCATTGCAGTTCCTCTTTAATCTAGTTGAGATGATGATTCTTCCAAAAATAAACTCTATATAAAGAATATTGATAAAGATCCATAAGAAATGGTTTGTGAACTTGCATAAAATAATTACACTTTGGAAATTTGGAAAGAAAAATAAGCATGTAGGTGGGTTGTATCTACCCAATTTTTATACTGTAGTTATTACTTAGCCTTTGGCTCAGCCCATACTTTTATCCTTCGATGCCTCATTGTCTTTTAAATCAACCATTATTTAGATTGCCAAGATTAACTATACATTCAAAACAAATCAACTGGCCAGTATGAGGTGTTAGTAAACTGTGACATACAGTATGAACAGTTAAAAGTGTATTCCATGCTGAAAGGCAAAGAAAAGAAACCCAACGTTTCGGCTGTAGAGGCTACTTCAGACATAAGGGAGAGGGGGAAACCAACTGTTAATGAAGCATGAGAGAACAAAAGAGAGGGTAGTTAAAAGTGGCGGGGAGCAGGGGAGAAAGTGTATCAACAGTTCTGGGGTAACTGAAAGAGAGGTGTGATGTCAAAACCTGCAAATGAATAGAGAAAATACTGTAAATGAATAACTTTCTCTTCTCCGAATTCTCCCAAGCATTCTATAACTATGCACAACTTAATAGCTTACTGTCTGAAACTTCTTCTCTCAGTGACTTTTAATAACTTCCTTAATGCAATGTCAGACAGGTATTTTGACAGTTGTGTGTCTTTTGGGACAGCTGATCTCTGCATGGGGTCAGATAATACAATGCCAGTTATCCATTTAGAGCCATACACAATAAACTGTTACAATATACATTTTTAAATAGACTTTATTATACTCCCAAGAAACTAGAAAAGATGAAGTCAGGAATGTGTGCAAAATGTAATTTTCACATAGGATCACTACTGTATTTACAGGGGGACTATCTGGACCACTATCAAAGGTCAAGAAACAATCATACACTTACTGTAAAATATTTCTGTTTTACGTACTCTTATTACTTGCATCCAAGGTGATCTTTCAAAGGTTAGAGTACCAATTCAAGATTAAAAAATGCTTTTCTGACCCTACAGTATGTATAATTTCTTTTAAAAATAATCTTGCAAAAATGGATTGTATAGGACCCTCTCACAAAGCATGAATTAAACACATGCTTCGATGTGCTTTATCACAGATTACATTTGAAAAGATATCACATAGTCTACAGGGAAAAAATAATTAATATAAGCATGAATGGGGCCTATTAGAACGTTTTTTGAATGGCACCAGATCTCAATGTTAATTTACAGTAGGAGATTGTTTTTTTTTTCTTATCCTTCTTTTGGCGGTGATCATTCTTTCACTGTGTTTCCTTTTTGTTTTGAGTGTTACAAACAATATCGGCATGTGATTCACACTAATTATCATACCAAAGAGAGAAGATAAATGAAGAGGAGACAGGGAAAATAAGTAGACTATGTGGGAGGGAATGGAAGAATCATGAAAAAAGGCACATGAGAGTAACAGCAAAAAAGTGATAAAGATGTCCTTGAAACTGGGGGGGTGGTGAAACAAGGGAACAATGAAGAATTATGTCCTGAAGCTGATCGTCTTCTTGCTGAATATCCTCCGTGCAAACTCTGGGAATATCTTTGTTGGCTGAGTACAAGAATGCCTCTTCTTTGTTTCAAACTGGCTTTAGCTCCGTCCCCTACAATCATTACATTAATGGCTCTTGGTGTCAGCACCTGCTCAAACAGTTGGCACAGACAGTTTCTGCCTCATGTTTTCAAATTTGCTGTTCTCTACCTCATTTCCATTTTTAGATACACCTACTGCACAGTATGTATTACAAAATACAGAGCCAAAAACAGCCCTTGACACAACAATTGGAATGAGGAATTATAGAATCCAGAACTGCTTTTCACTGGGTTATTTCCACCACAATTACCTTTCTGTTCCCATGTTCATAACAGAAGACCTCTCTAATTTAAAAGGTTAACCTTCAACTTGAACCTCTTTCCAAGACCATCTTTCCCAAACCTATCATTTCCTACCTGCCATGAACCATATCATTTTTACAACATTCTCATCCACAGTTCCCTCCTACCATGCACTGGCCAGGATCTATCTGCAGAGTTCGCTAAATCACCTGCAGATACAGTACACTGGTCTATCTTTTATCCTGTTGTCGAGGCAGGATATAAAAGTGTAACCAGCACCCATATCACCGTGAAGCTCGCTGCAGCTCAGCAAGTGTGAGCCTGGTTAGTACCTGGATAGGAGAGCTCCTGGGAAAAACTAAAGCTGCTGCTGGAAGAGGTGTTATTGGGGCAGTAAGAGGCGCTCATCCTGCAGCTTTTGTGGGTCCTAATGCCCCAGTATAGTGACTGGGACACTATACTGTAAAAAAGGCACTGCTCCTTCAGATGAGAGGTAAGACTGAGGTCCTGACTCTCTATGGTCATTAAAAATCCCAGCGCAATTTTCAAAAAGGGTAGGACTGTTATCCTGGCATCCTGGCCAAATTTCCCATTGCCTTTTACCAATCACGGCCTCCTAATAGTCCCCATCTATGAACTGCGTTCATCACTCTGTTCTCCTCCCCACTGATAGCTGGTGTGTGGTAAGAGTACTGGCGCACTATGGCTACCGTTGCATCATCCAGGTAGGGCTGCACATTGGTGGGGGTGGAGGGGAGTCCCCATTATCTGTGTAAAGCACTTTAAGTGTAGTGTCCAGAAAAGCACTATATAAGTGTTAACTATTATTATTAGACTGGGTTTATTGTGGACTTATTTGCTTACACAGGCATGATGGGATCACAGGTTGTCAGTAGTCTGACGTTTTTTATCCTGTGTTCATGTCAATTACTTCTTCTTGCCATTAAATTCAGTTATACTCTACTTAAAGCGTGGTGTCTGGGAGTGAGTACTCACCTCTGCACCAGCTTCAGGAACCGTAGAATGGAAAGGGACATGAACGTGAGTATAGGGTGGAGGAGTTGGCCCTGCTGCTGATGTACACCGCCACGAGGTGGCGCTGTAAGGCAACTCCGGCTTTAAAAAGGTTGATAAATGCTGAGCAATTCTGAGACAAGATTCTGCCTCTTTGTTCTTCTGAACCCATGCTAGGATAGAGCTAGCTCTGTTTTATTTAATGAATTTAAATTGTGCAATTTAATAAACGCACAAATTGCACTAATGAATACAACATTGTGCAAAAACTTTAAAAACATCCATATTGTATTTGTTGCAAACCTTGTTAAAGGATTTTTGGAGTACAGTGTTTAAAAATAATTCAGTCATATTTTTAAAACTTAATAGACTCCAGTGCCATGTGTCTAATTAAACAGTATATGGAGTTTGCATGTTTTTTTTTTCCTGTGTTCGCTTTGAGAATATGCTGTTTTCAGAAAGGGAGTCGGGTGAGTGCTGAAGGAGCAAACTGAGCCTCATAAATTAATGTTAATGAAACAATCGTTGCAGCTACTACTGGGTGGAACATGACTCCCATGTTCTCATCCTTTAACTTTGATTATAAAAATGCGGTTAAAATAAACTGTTAATTTGTGAGTTCAGCTTTACAAGTTTACTTGAGATGAAAATTGGTGATTAACTTTCCTGCACAGTAAGAAGTGTAATGCTGAACTTACAAAGCAAGTCTGTCAGTTTACGTAGTTTTAATATCCTGCTCTATCTAGTGAACGGCGGATTCGTATCCATATACATTGATTAATTACATCACTCACAAGTGAAGGTTTATATTGTCTATTTAAATGTGCTAAAGTACATCAAGTCTGATGTGCTGCTATGTTTTGCTAATGTTTAAAACAATCCTTTTCCTCTTTCTATCCTAACATTCCTGTGCAGCTGATGTTGGAAAAAAAAACATAGCAACCATATTCACGTAACCAAAAGTAAAATTCATCAAAGGAAGTAATGTTGAATATAGCGGCGTTTTGTCTGTACAAAAGCGTTCACTTACACAGTAGCTAAACAGAAGTGAAATCACGCAGACGTAATGCAATGTTCGATTTAAAATGCACTGCAAGGAAATTAAAGCTTCAATTTTCAAAAAGGCCAGTATAGATAATAATATCAGTCCAAGTCCACTTATCTAGTTTAGTACGAACGACATTAAGTTTCAGATTACTTTGGCTGAGTTTACGTTGTGACAACACTCCCTCTCGCAGTAGAATAGCATTTCAGTACTGCTGCATAAAAACATTTCGAGCAAAACATTTTTTTTCGCGTCAAGTGTGACGGTCTGTGATGATGGCGGCGAAAGACAGTTCCGAAAACCTGGTATTCTTTGTGAATGGAAAAAAGGTAACGTTTTGCTTTGCATTTTATTCTGTTATTAACTGAAAAGCATGGATAAAACTCTAGTATAAAAATATTTTAAAACAAAGTTAGAAAAATAATTGCAAGATGCAGGAGCGCAGATTATGTACTGTACTTATTCTGTGGTGTAGTGTAGAATAGTGAACGTCGAATACAGAATAAACTTTAAAAACATTTTGCAACTACAGGGCAATGTGCAACTGGTTCACTTTTCTGTTTTTATCGTGAGCTATCATTTTAAATGATAAAATGTAAGGATAGCCTACATTAGCGCTGTTAACTATAGCCTTCTACTTAATGACAATCTAAGTGATATACTGGATATAATTGTTGTATTGCTGTTTGATTAAGCTTAATGGGTTTTTAGCGCAGTGTAGAATGGAATTAAAATACGTTATTTTATACAGTCTACTGTTTGTTTGTTTTTTACCTTTAGGGGTGTATACTATAAAATATACAATCATATAATCAAGAAATCAAAATAATCCCAAAACATACTGTATCAATATTTAAAATTTGTATGCTAAACACAGACATGGATAAATAGAATAATATGTTTATTTTGATGCTCAGTATACTGTATATTGCATTTTCTTTACGTTGTAGGTGTATAAGCAATACAGAAAGCTATCATCTACACCTGTGAGTAATAAATTAATTTCTTAAATTGACAGGTAGTGGAAAAGAATGCAGATCCAGAAACAACTCTACTGTCCTACATCCGGGAAAAATGTATCCTTCTTTATGTAACAGGTTAAGGAATATCTCTAGATGTTTGTTTCCTTTGATATTTGTTGTGGGAAATTCTTCATCAGAGGAGCAGGACAGTCTTGTGCAGATTCAGTTTTATTGAGCTCAATAAGGCCAACAACGTGCGCCGGGTCTGCCCCACAGAACTGACAAACCACAAGGGTTTCCCAGCTCTTATATACAGTCAGAAGAAAGTTTGTTTGTCCTGTTCTTTGATATGTAATTATTTCTTGTCCTACTCTGCCTTGCTCTAGGTTCTACCATTTGATATGCAGCAGACATTGGTCTGGTTTATCCTGTCTGTGGGTGTTGTTCCTGTCTTTTATTGTGTAGCGTTAAGCTGCTAAAGCAAGTCAGCTTTATGACATCTTAGTGTTACTTTTGTTTGAGGCTAAATTAACAGACCCCATCAACACCTCTCACAATGTGCTTAAGTGGTGATACTGTGATGCTGGATAAGTGAGACATATACATGTCCCACTTCAATATTAGAATTTTTATTTTTTTCTATTTAGGAATATCTCTAGATGTTTGGTGCCTTTGATGTTAGAATTAGTTTTTTTTTTCTACTTTCCATTGAACAAGTCACAACATACTCTATATAAACATACGGTATTGTCAAAAGGGAATTTCTACTCAGGAACAGACTAACAAATATATTTTCTCTTATACTGTTCTACGTAAAAACTATAGTGGTACTACCAAGTGGCTATCAAGTCTCAAAACTGGAATACACTAAGTCCATCGGGTGAACACTGCTTGTATAATTTGTCTCTCATCTTAACCAGGGGTACCCTCCACTCACACACACAGGCAAAGGTCAGACACGTGGGAACAGTGTGGGAAGGAACAACAAGGATATAGTCACACTTGTATGCAGATCTTCAAATTAAAGCACTCACATTCCTCAGATTTACATTCAGCCTAAACCTAATCGTCAACCACTCTGTCTACAGAGTCTAATGAAATAGCACAAGCAGCTGGTGTTACAGTAGTATAAAGAATATAAAACGCTGTGCCTCTTTGTAGATCATTAGTACTGTATTTGCAAACAATTGTACTGTATGTGTACCGACTTGCTTTTTGTCCAGAAGTAATGAGTAATGCTTCTGCTTTTTTTGTTGTTTCTTGGTATAAGGATAACTCCAGTGAGTTATGCAAGTGAGGAGTGATTCACTGTAGACATTGAAGCTTTCAGGACGACACCACTTGATAGTAATTTGTAAATCCCAAGACTTAAATTGGGAACAAATGAGAAACCAGATGATTTGGGCACATGGTTATGACCAAATTGAAGGGAGGCACTACTGTAGTTTCAGCTGGATGCTGGCTTCAATCCTGACTGAAGATTAAATGCATACTGTATATGTACTGTAACTATTTGATTACAAAATGAAATGAATCAATGAAATTTGTTTTTGATATCATTGTTTTTATGTTATTTTCATAGTTCAGGTAATGTATGGCCAAGATGCCATTTACAATGCTTTCAGTCTTTCAGTGTCTTATAGTAGATGATTTACAGTATCTCGAAGACCAATAGTTTTCCACCACAAATCATTAACTGTGTATGTTTGTGGTACACAGTAATTCAAAGTTAACTATAGGAATGTTCATTTGTTCAATTCAAATTCTCTTTTGTAGATTCATTGTAAAGAAGATACTGTAGATTTACACAAAGTTATTTCTTTAACTTTAAAGAAGTAGAACTAGAGTATTTTGATAAACTGCAATTATGTGGTATAAGAGCTAGGCAAAGAATGATATAGTTATGAAAGTTACTGTATGTAATGTAATACTCAGAAAAGTTAACAAATAATCTACTAAACTCATGTTTCCAAGACATTTCTCTGGAGTAAGAAAACCCTTTACACACTGAAGAAGTCAGCCTTGTTTGGAGTTTTAACAAGGTTTAGTTCAGGTCACAAGTAGTTTAAATCAGATTAGAAATACCATGTACAGTATATTTTTTCATGGGAGCAGACTAAGTATAATGCTTCTGATGAGGACGAAATTAAGATTTTTTCAGAATTCATTTTTAATTCTTTTGTCAGGATTGACCAATATGTCATTTTGAACGACATACTAAAAATAATGCACACATTGAAAATTAATGTAAAGGCAGGGAATCTCATCTTGCATGTTGTTTGCTGTTATAATTGCTACTGTACTGAAAGTTAGAAGAAGAATACTTGAAAAAACTTTGTGCCTTATTTCATTTTTGCTTGTAATGGCATTTCATTATGTACAAGACATGGCTGAGACCTAAAGAATTACAAGCCAATTAAATTACAGTGAGGAATTTAAAGTATATTGGAAAGAAAGAACTTGAATTGGAATTTGACTCTTTAGTTACTCTGTAGGACTGTTCTGTTTTCTTGCAACATTGCTGTCTCTTATGAAACTTATGAAACGGCTAGGAAAGTGTTTCCTTGACTCCTCTGTCTCTCCAGTGAGGCTGACTGGGACAAAGTACGCCTGTGGTGGAGGGGGCTGTGGTGCCTGCACTGTCATGGTCTCAAAATACCAGCCTCAGACCAAAAGCATTCTGTATCCTTTCTGTGAAAAACGCTTAAGGCTTACACCAAAAAGTTTATATTGTCTTGAATATTATGAAATTTTCTGTACTGAAATGCTGGACAAATATGAGGAGATTCTGCTAGTTTTTTGATTCCTTAAAAAGCAGTTTTGTAAGATCCAAAAAGGCAACTTTGTAAAATAAAGATCAGTAGCCAAATGAGCATAACAGGCTGCACAACCTCTGCAGCACTACATAGATTTAGCTTCAGTGGGGAAGCAGCTATATAGAAGTCACTCCTGAGAAAAGGCCACATGATGTTACTCCAGATGGCATGTAGGAGATGAAACAAAATTTGAAAATTAAAGTTTTGCCTTTTTGTCACATCAAAATTAATGTAGAAAACAAATCGTAGTAAAATATATATGATATATATATATATTTGAGATGCTTGCTTGCAGCCATATCACCCTGCAACTCACAACTGACACCCCACTGAAGCTAAGCAAGTGTGAGCCTGGTTAGTACCTGGATGAGAGACCTCCTGGGAAAAACTAAGGTTGCTGCTGGAAGAGGTGTTAGTGGGGCCAGCAGGGGGTGATCACCCTGCATTCCATGTGGGTCCTAATGCCTCAATATAGTGACAGGGACACTATACTGCAAACAGGCGCCGTCCTTCGGATGAGACGTAAAACCAAGGTCCTGACTCTCTGTGGTTGTTAAAAATCCCAGGGTGTTTCTCGATAAGAGTAGGGGTGTAGCCCCGGCGTCCTGGCCAAATTTTCCATTGGCCTTTACCAATCATGGCCTCCTAATCATCCCCATCTATGAATTGGCTTCATTACTCTGCTCTCCTCCCCACTGATAGCTGATGTGTGGTGAGCGTTCTGGCACACTATGGCTGCCGTCGCATCATCCAGGTGGATGCTGCACATTGGTGGTGGTGGAGGGGAGTCCCCATTACCTGTAAAGCGCTTTGAGTGGAGTGTCCAGAAAAGCGCTATATAAGTGTAAGCAATTATTATTATTATAAAATGGTTCATGTACTGTAGGTAGCTGCATCTGCATGTGTAGGCTGCAAAGGAACAAGTAAAGGTTTATTCCATGCTGAAAAGAGAAAAAGAGAAACACAATGTTTAGGCCACCCGAAGAAGGCTCCACAGCTGAAACATAGTGAAAGGGTGTTTATTAATGCTAAACAAGAATGGCAGTGACCTACAGAAAGGTCTTTGTAAAGATGGATCTTCATATATATATGAGACGCTTGCTTGCAGTAAAAATTAGTATTTCATATATTAGTATTTCAGTCGGCTGATATTTTATGGAATTCACATGAGGTAAATAAGAAACCCATTTCTATGTAGGCAGAAAGTTCTACCTAGCTAAGGTGCTAAGGGCAGTACTGGTCCCTCCCAGTCAGAGGTGTCTGTATTTCCTCTTTCTTGCTTAATTCCCTTGTATCAAGAGTTAATAGATCACTGTGCAGTTTTGTACCAACATTGGTATATCAAAATACATGTGCACAGTGGTTTCACATCCACAGCACAACTGATAAGTGTATATCTGTTCTTAATTTGGTGTTTTGGTGTGTTGTGTACCTATTATGTTAGCTCATTTTATCATGGCAGGGCTGTTTAAGAAAGTGTCTCCAGAAAAAGAAAAACATTCAGTCTTCAGTATTAAGTTATTTTAAGGTTGTATTTGAAGCGTTGTTTCAATTCTAACAGTAAATGTAAGATGAGAGCCTGTTGATTATTTTGGTTTGTTTATTAATATACGTTACTGTCGTCTCTCTGAAGAACATTTTGCAGTAGTAGCATGTTAAATTAAATTTGACCGAGTCCCCTTAACTTAGGAAGTCATTTTTCTGCCAACGCCTGTTTACTTCCCATCTGTTTGCTTACCGAGGCTGCTGTTACTACAGTGGAAGGGATTGGAAGTACAAAGACCAGAATCCATCCAGTGCAGGTAAAAGGAGCTGATAGTGAAGATAACTATTCTCATACACATAGTTACAAATGCAAAGAGGCATTCAGCCCATCTAGCCTGATTTGGTATTTGATTGATCTGAACAAGACCTGGTTATTCCTTGAAAAAAACGAACACATGTAGTGATGTGCTTCCAGCCATTTTAGATGCACACAAGTGTAGAGTGTTACATATAGTGCCCTCCAGAATGATTGACATCTTTGATAAAGATGAGCAAAATAAGGCTGTGAAAAGATATCTTTGTTGTTTATTTTTTTATAAGGATTTTGTTTTCTTTGAATAATTTTACCTCACTGAAAGGTTGGATTTCTCTCATATTTTCAGTGTAAGATCAAGCTGATAAACAACAAAGACATTTTTTCCTAGTCTTTCTTGCTCATCTTTATCAAGAGTGCCAATAATTCTGGAGGACACTGTAGGTAACAAAAGGTCCGGACTTCTACAGTGTCGAGAAACTGTCAGGACTCTGGACCTCTGAAGTGAGGGTCATGTGATCTTCCGAGTACTTCATCAAGATTGCTGTAGTACTTTATTAGCCCTTCTGTATAAATTAGTACTTTCTAGGCTGATTTTATGAATGGGAGAATGCTCTGAAATTAATGATCTGGTGAATAAAAGATTAAATTAAACACAAGAAAAACAATTTAAATTGGAAACAAAGTAAAGATAAATGGTGAATGCTCAAATAGAAGAGTACCAAACTAATTTATATCAGTGATATAGATTCTGTTGTAGTTGGTACACTTGTCTTGTTTGCAGTTATTACAAGAATAGGAGGAATAGAAAAAGCTATATAAACAGCAAAGAGAGTATTTCAAGCACAGGCAAACACCTAGCAGATGACATTTCTAGACATGTGTATCACAGATTGGTATTACAGTTAATCAGTCAGGAGACAACTGTGTACAATTTCTACATCTAACCAAGCACATTTGTTACCAGTGTAGTGTGTAGTGGCCAACGCCAAAACCCGCAGTGAGGGATTTTAATGCATTTCTGTCTGTGCATTAAATAACTACTGTAGTCTTGCTGTTAACCAGATTATATTTCTGCAAGTCCTTATATATGACACATCTCATAATGTAAAATGGAAATGATACAGTGGTTTTATTTAAGGACTCCATAGCATAGCAGCTCATCTGCATCTCATCTGTGTTACTTGGGTACTAGGGAATCTCTTGGAGAGAGCCTGGAAACCAGCCTGGGATAAGTCACATTTGGTCATCATAGCAGATACTGCTCATAGCCCTACCAAACATTAAACCATAAGGCTTCATGTTATGGTTAAGAGACAGTACAGTATAATGTGTATCAGAGGGTGGGATGTTTATTTATTTATTTTTTCTTTGATTAGGAGCGGATTGCGAAGGCCCATGGCTCTCAGTGTGGGTTCTGTACCCCCGGGATGGTAATGTCAATGTACACCCTGCTGAGGAACATTCCAGAACCCACCATGGAGGACATTCAGGAGGCCCTCGGAGGTATATCTGATCTTAGGGTGGGAGGCTGGGCTTTCAACTTTAAGGTCTTAAACTCTGCTGACATATATTAAAAGGATTACTGAATGTGCAGTATCATAAACATAAATTTAAACAAATAATTGCGTCTGTCTATTTATTTGCAGTCTTCTGGTCCAGGTAGTGGTCACAGCTGCAGATCGGGACATTGTCAGTTCGTCTTCACGACACATTCCAGCTCCTCCAGTGAGATTCCCAAATGTTCCCAGGCCTTGAGATGTAGTCCCTCTAGTATGTCCTGAGTTGAACTTGTAGAGGGAAGAGACTGTAAACCGTTGAAAATACCACCTCCCCTCCTACCAGTTCTTATGCTTCATAGAACATTATCACAGTGCCAATAAAGAGTTTCATGCAAGAACTTAGTGTGTGATCGCCACCACAGATAAATGGGATAAAAGAAAGTTTAACCCAGATGTGCAATCATAAAAGCTGTTTGGAGGTTAAATAAACTCCCAAAGGAAATAATTGAGAATCTGAAAAAAGCTGTTGGTATTGTTAATCTGATGTGTGTGGTTTGTCAGTTACATGGCAACATAAAAGGAAACAATATAAATTTGTCAAGTAGCAACAAAAATGCCAAATGCTTAATGCAAAATGTATTTAATTAAATTTTGAAAAGTTTCAAAATACATTATTTTAATATTCCTCCTCATTGCCGTGTGATTAGGCCTTAATTAACAGGATTCCTGTGTCTTCTCAGGTAATCTGTGCCGTTGTACTGGATACCGACCTATCTTAGATGGATATAAGACATTTTGTGGGGTAAGATAAGAAGCAGAGCTATTCTATATTCCTATGTCATATTGTGTTAAAGTTTTGTTCCTTAAGCATTTTTTTCCATTGGCAGAGTAAAAATTATACGAAATGGTTTTAAGATGAGATATTGTATATATATCAATTTTTCTATGGTAGCATTTTATAAAAAATAATTGAGATAAGTATTGACAGTTTGGTTTCATGTCAGGAAAACCACACATCCCTTAATGCCAACTATAATTTGGTCTGATTTAAGGAAAAACTGAGAAAACGATATGACACTGCTATAGCTACAGTGTAGATTATTGCTCTTCATGTTCTAGAATATTGGGTATATGTCTATAATGCTGTTTATTTTTTGTATTTTAAATTTGAGCATATTTTTGGTCTGATTTTATAAGCTAAGAAAGTCTAGGCCTTGTCAGTAGAGGGATGGGATATCTCTAAAGCATGTTTCCTTGGAAACAGATGTTTAAGGTCATAATCAAACCAAGTACATTGTCACTGTAAGATAGTACTACATCACTACATGGCTTAAGTAAACTGTAATTTTTTTTTAATGATTTTTGTTGTCAAATACAAGGGATAATTTTGTGAAAAAAAAAGTTTTAGATTATATTTCAGATTTAGAAATTTTGTACAATTTGTTTTAGGAATCTGAAGGTCAATGTCCATAAAACTTTTCTGTATGGATGCTTTGAGAGAATTATCTGTATTGGTAATTCTATAAGCCCTAAACTGATGATCATGGATTTGTTTAAGCTCCTTTTTCAGGTTTTACACACTTTTTATGACAAGTTTTTTTTTTTTATTTCTTATGAAGATCACCTTCATTCAATTGACTTTCCTCTTTTTATTTTTTAATGTTTGTGCCTACTTGTATAATGGTGGTATTGCTCAAATAAAAAATGTATTTCTTTTTCTTGAGGCATCCAACTGTTGCCAAACAAACAGCAATGGGGATTGTTGCTTAAATGAAGAATTGTTGGGTCAAGACAAAGAAAATGTGAGTACAAATTTACCTCTGTGCACCTTCCTACTTCATCCCCTGTGCCCAAAAAACTTAACATTTTTTTTTATTTCACTCAGTCTCTCCATTAACTGAGCTGTGATCACAGCTGCCTGCCTTTTCAGTTTTAAATGTTTAAATATTACCAGTATTGTAGGCGGAGGCGGTAATCTAACCACACAGTATTTACATTTAGTGTTTTTACCATGTTCCAGCTTCATTTAATCTGGTTATCTACTGTTTTTCACCTTTAAATACATTTAATATGGAATATTAAGTGTTAAGGAATATTAAGAGCCACTGCTCTGGGTGGAGCAGAGGCTGTGTGGCTAAGGATCTGCACCTGTGGCTTGAAAGTTGCTGGTTAAAATCCCATGGCTGGCAGAGGAATCCTACTTCGGTGGGCTCCTGAGCAAGGCCTTTAACCCCAGCTGCTCCAGGGGTGCTGTATAATGGCTGACTCTGCACTCTGACCCCAAGCTTCCTTCCCTGTCTGTGTGTCTCATGGAGAGCAAACTGGGGTATATGAAAAGACAAATTCCTAATGCAAGAAATTGTGTATGGCTAATAAAGTGATCTTATCTTAATATAGAATTTTGTTACTAAAATGAACTTTTGGTAGAAGCATAACCTCTCTCAACATCATAAACGATACTAATGTATGATGTATGTATGAATAAAAGTATATTAAACATACTGTATATGGCTGGGAGTGGCAGCTAAAAATAAAATAAGGTACACAAAGTATTACACCTTCTTCATAAGCATTTTCTGCATCAAAGTACAGTATTTAATGTGGTCACTTAAAGTGGTTATGCTATAAATCAAATAGCAACCCTGTGCTCACTGAATCTTCACACCCTCAGTATAATGAAAACAGAAACTGTGATCTCATATGCAGGTGTGAATTATAATAGTGTTAATATATTTTTTTTAAATTTTAATGTTTTATATTTTGTTTTAAAACAAATTATGTAAAGTAAGATCCACAGTTATGCTGAAACAATAGCGTAGGGTTTTAAAGCCACTAGGTACAGTATGTGTGAAATCTTTCATAATCAAAATTAAATCAAAATCTGTATATCTCTATACAAAAGCAGCAAACACATTAATCTTCTTCAGCATATTATTTGTGTGATTAAAGGTGGTCCAAATGTATTATCCTTATGAGATGGTATGGTCTTTAATGGAACATATTTGCTTCACAGTGTGTGAACTGTAGTTTTAAAATGTTGGCCACATGAATCAAATAGATGAACAAAGACTACAATTCCTGATGTGTCACACACAAATCACATGAAGTCATATCCACAGATATGCTGAAACAATAGTGTAGGTTTTTAAAGCCACTACAGTACAGTGTGTGTGAAATGTATTTTTCCTAATCAAAATCATAACTAAAATATTTTAGATAGGATAGATAAGACTTTATTGATCCCAATGGGAAATTGGGGAAATTTATTTTCCTGATTATTTGTTGCAGAAATCAGCATAACACCACATATTGATTATTTTAGTGTGGATGTAAACCTGAAAAAATCAAATCACATTCACAACAAGCTATAATAAAATACTATTTTTTATATATCCTGCTGAGTTATTTTGTTTTGTTAAACAGCCCAACTTTCTCTTTTAATATTAATTTAATATTTAACATACTGTAATTTACATTGTGAAATCAATGAAAGTTTAAACAGTTTCCAATTAAATTATATAATTGGAAAAAGATTGTCCCTATGTGGGGGCTATGCATTGACCAGGATTCATAACCAGGTGTTTTGGGGTGACAAGCCAAATACTTCCACATACCACGTTAATTATTTTGGGTATTTTTGTAATTGTTTATTTCTGAGGCCAACAGGACAAGATATGCTGTGAAGGCTGGAATTCATAAGAGACCAGGAAAGGTGTACTTTCAAACTAGATATATAGTATATCATACAGAGATAAAAACTGTACAATTAAATCAAGAATTAAAGAAAATGTGAAGCTGGAGACACAAAGGGTTTGTCTCGGATGGTCATGATAGTAAAGAATCCATCCTTACTATAACAGAACCATTGTTTCAACTCATTTATGTCTATGTTTTTCAGAAGAGTATATTATTTAAAATGAAACCCCGAAACAAAACCTAATTCCTTCTTGGAGCCCTGTCTACACTTTGAGATGGCTTTTATCTTGTCTTCTCCAAGGCAGGACTGTAAAAACCACAGTCAAACACAAACAGAAAATACAGAGTTGCTGTTTGTTTTGTCTGTCTTTGCTTCAGAATACCTATATCTTTACAGGCTGATTCCCCCCAGAAGGTTTTTGTTTATCATTTGGAGTTTGAATACCCCTACTGACACCTGCAGTCAACAATTGGGCTGTCGGTAACTATTTTGGCTCAGTGACCTCTCTTGGTAAACACATAATCCAAAATGTATGCCTTGTATAGAAGCTTCCTAGTAACACCTCAGCTGTATAGTTCCCTCAGAGTGTCAACTCCCACACAGTACAGATAATTTATAATCATCAACAATCATATACAATCACCCAAGTAGTTCTTTAATTATATATTTGCAAGTTTCATATTTTAAACCTACCCTGTGTCTTTCAAAGGTCTTCTCAGAGCTATTCAACAAAGATGATCTTATACCTTTGGATCCAACACAGGAACTTATATTTCCTCCAGAACTCATTGTAAGTCAGACTTGATCTAATGTAGTGTTTTTAAGACTTCTCTGTCGAGACATGAGGTTGATCATTATATAAATCAGTGATTTTATTAATATGTTTGTTGTTTTGTGTTGTAGATCTGACTTGGCATTATTATATTTACTACATTCATTTTACATTTATTTTAGTTTCTTTTATGTCCTTTTCTACTATGATTGAAGTGTAGTGTGAATTAGCTTTAATGGACTTAATGAAGTAACTAACTGTTGAAACAAGCGAAAAAACCCATAGCTGTTTCTATTGTTTACTCTGTAATTTGTACTTGGGGGTATAGCACTTAGACAGCCACAGATGTAAATAATGATGTGTTTCTTAACCTGGTCAGGGTTAATAATACTTAGAAATCTTGATTAAATTAATTTTGAATGTTGTTGGAAGGTTGGAAAGTTTTTGTTGTAGCTGTTTCTTTTCTTTGTTTAATCTGTGTCAGCACAGGTACACTTCACTGGGAACATGTATTTAGAATTGAATTAATACAAATCTCAAGCTTTTCATAGGAAAGCATGCTTTGATGCTATTTACTGCCATACTGTATATGCATATGTGCAGACTTTCGTCATTTTTAAAGACTTTGTAATGTGACTTAGAAGACAAGATTCATAGGAAGTTTTTATTATTTAATTTACAAAGTCAGTTTAATTCCAGATTCTTTGCAGATATTCAGTTTCCCTCAGTCATTCTCTTATTGGCTTTGTAAAACTAAATATTGTTTAGGATTCCATCTTCTTTTCTTCATTTCTTCTTTCTTCTGAAATTCTAAATGAAAGAGGTCTGTAGTACTGTCTTTATGGCTCTATCCATAATATTGTCTTCCTAGATAATGGCTGAAAAGCAAGAACGAAAAAGCCTCACTTTCCGTGGAGAGAGGATAACTTGGATCTCCCCTGTGTCCTTGGAAGAGCTTATCCAGCTCAAGTCCAGTTACCCTAATGCTCCTCTCGTAATAGGAAACACTAACATTGGTAAGCCCTAATGCTAATTTGTTTTTGGAATGTATTCACATTCACATCTTAAAATTGTTTTGTCATATGTTCGTTCCATTGGTACTTCATATGTTATTGGGCTACAGGATTTTATTCTGTGTGAATTGTTCTTTGTAAATGTATATGCCAGTATTTTAGAAAGAGAAGCTTGTTAGAAGGTTTCTTGAATACGAAGACAGGGAAAATGGAGACTACACATAGTGAAGAATATATTACTTCAACACTTACATTTACATTTTTTTTCCAAACAGGAACTGTAGTAAAGTTAGTGTGATGAAAATTCTATACAGTTTTTATGATTCATGTATTTTTAAGTCAAAATGCTCTTTCCTTCCCTTTTAGAAATTTTAAAAAACATGAAAAATGTTTAGTAATTTCACAGTTTAACTAGAGACAAAATGATAATTACTTGTAAAATAATCTTGTATTAAAGGTTCAGTTATTCTTTTAAAACCCTCAAGGCCTCCTGGTTATCTGATTTCATTGATGCAGTTTATCTGAGAGCATATGGATATCCAGAGGAGCAGAGTTCAAAGTGAAGATAGAACAGCAGTTTTTCTTATCTGGCTTTTCATGCATATGTGTATCTGTTTCGTACAGTATGTGTGTATAAGCTGAAAGTTAAATCTGTGTTTAAAATGTGATATAAAAGCATGTAGTGAGCCTACTTGATATGAATACTAAGTAGTGCTTACAGAGCTATTTAACCTGCTTATTTTCTCTGTATGGCTATAACTGTAACTAATTCAATAATTTCCATCTGCAAAGAAATGCATATATTTTATTTCCCCATGTTATTTCTTTTATTTTTTTATTTTGAATACAGTTATGTCTGTTTCATTGTACTGTACATGTGTGATTGCTTATTTATTAAGGGGGCCTGTTTTGAGTAAATCCACTCATTCTTTTCAAATTTCTGAAAGTATTGATTTTGTTGAGTATTAATTTGGAAAACTTGGACATTTCAGTGAATAGTGGGTCAATTGTACAAACTTTGCCTTCCATTTCACCTGTCACAATTATAATCTGTACTATAGTTATTCATTAACAAGTCCTGCACCATGGTAATGGTAGGGCTCCAGTAAATGTTACATAATTGCAGGATTAACCTTGGTAATGTTTTATGTTGTCTTTAAAGGACCTGAAATAAAATTTAAAGGTATACTACACCCTGTGATCATCTCTCCCACCAGAATTTCAGAGCTATATAATGTCATGAAAACAACAGAGGGTAAGTGTTCAATTTCAAGATCTACAAGTTCTCTAACTCTCTTTGCAAAACTACCTCTGGGCAGTGGCTATAAAAAATATTCATCCCCCTTGGGCCTTTTCACATTTTACTGTGTTATAATATTGAATCATAATGTATTTAAATGGAATTTCCTTGCCATTGATCAACACAAAACGCTCTATAATATCAAAATGAAAACAGAATTCTACAGATCTTCCTAAATTAATTACAAATATAAAACAGAAAATAAGAGCATAAGGATTCACTCCCTTTTACTATGACACACCTAAATAGGCCCTGGTGCAACCAAATGTTTTTGAAATCACATAAATATGTTGAATGAGTCCACCTGTATGCATTTAGGGTGTTTCACATGGGTTCAGGATAAATATACCTGTCTCTTGGTTCCATAGTTGATTAGTGCGGCTCCCAGCAAAACATCATGAAAACAAAGAAACTTACAAAGTACATCTAGTATAGTGTTATTGAAAAGCACCAACCAGGGGAATGGTATAAGAAAATTTCCAAGACCTTACATATCCCCAAAGCACAGTAAAGTCAATTATTAAGAAATCTAGAAAATATAGCACAACAGATGGCCTGGGTACCTCACAAATTTGGGCTTCATGGGAGAGTGGCAAACAACTCACATCAACTACACTATTCAAAAAGGCAAGTGGGAGACTATGAGACCACATGGAAGAAAATTGTATGGTCTAACGAGACCAAAATTGGCCTAAATGGATAGCACCATATTTGGCACTAGAGTGAACATCATTTAGAGAACAATATCCCTACTGTGAAGAATGGTGGTGGCAATATCATGCTATGGGAATGCTTCACTGCATCAGGGCCTGGAGGAAAAATGGATGCAGCAAAGTACCGAGAACTTCTGGAGGAAAACCTGCTGCAATCTGCAAGAGATGTGTGACTTGGGAGAAGATTCGTGACCCAAAACATACAGCCAAAGTCATGCTGGAGTGGTTTAAAAAGAAAAATAGCCGGTGTTCTGGAGCGGCCCAGTCAAACCCAGACCTCAATCAAGAATCTGTGGCAGGAGTTGAAAATTGCTGTTCCAACCTGAGAAAGTTTGAGCAATTTTTGAATGGGCTAACATTGCAGTGTCCAAATGTACAAAGCTTTTGTAAACTTATTAAAGAAGACTTATGGCTGTAGCTTCTGCCAAACGTGCCTCTACCAAAAACTTTCTCAAAGAGGGGTGAATACTTATAAAATCATTTTTTTTCCATTTTATGTGTATAATAAATTTAGGAGGATCTGAATTTTCTTACACTTTTACATTAAAAAGTGTTTTCTGTCAATCAATAACAATAATAACAAGAACAAAAACCAGTTAAATACATTATGATTCCATATTGTAATACAATAAAATGTAGAGAAGTCCAAGTCAGTGAATGCTTTTGATAGTCACTGTACCTACACAGATCTAACTGAACTTTGGGACCACTGACAAAGTTATGGTATCTGACTGCAAGAATTGTTTTGTGCAAAAACAAAATTACACCTGTACCCTTTTTTACAAGTGTTTTTTTTAATGAAAATCCAGTACTATGAAGCATGTGAATTGTTACCTACATTTGGAATAACAAAAGCCTTCAATACTAAAAACAAATGACACAAAGAAATGTAGAGAGTGAGGAGGAAGGCATTGTACAACTCTTTTCATATTTAGTGTTTGCATCACATTCCATTACAGTAACTAGTATGAGTGAGAGCCTGCACACTTGTGCACGGAGTGTGATACAGTTCACTGCCTCTTCCTTCATGCGTTGTTTGCTATTGTGCCTCTCTTACTTTTCTAATTAATATTTGTGGTATAGACTTTGGTAAATGGTAAATGTCTTCATCATTTATTCTTCAATGATTTCATCTTGTAAAGAAAATGAAAATTGTGAGTGTGTAATTACACAAGAAGCAAATGAAATGCTTATTGCACAGTACAGTACTGTACTTTGGTATGATTAATGTTGTCTAACTAGGTAAGAAGTGTATTTTTTTACTAAAACCACAAACCGCAGCATGAATGTTAGTTATTATTGTTTCTTTTGTCATTTTCGGGTGAAAATGGTAAAAGTAAGTGACATTTTTGGTGTCCAGGAGGGATCGTAATTTTTACCCATAAGAAATAATGGAAACAATGTTGTTCTTTTTGCAAATTATGATAAAGGGTTTCTGGGAATGATTGCAAAGAATTCTCTCCACCTATGAACATGAAATACAACACATATACTTTATGTTTTTCATTATAATTTTGCACAATGCCCTAAGAGTGTATACAGTATTTTCATGTTTGAGAGTTTCATCAGAAGTTCCAAAAAGTCCAATATTTTTTTTTCAGGAGTGTCCATTGGAGCTGGTTGTAGCCTTTCCACTGTGATAAAACTGCTGGAAGAGCTGGTTTCCAGTCTGCCAGAGGAAGAGACAGAGATATTCAGAGCTCTTTTAAAACAAATGAAGAACGTTGGTGGGCAGCAGATCCGCAATGTTGCGGTAAGTTGCTCTTGGTCTGATGTCGGACTTTATTTTTTACAACTATGGGGCACGTTAATTAAAGGACAGGAAATTTCCACAATTAGAATCTGGTAAAAGGACACCAAATTGCCTAGACTTTTTTTTCTCCTGTTACCACTAAGCTAGTGTCATGCGTAATTAATGTGGTGAAATGTGTAATACCATCATCTTTCACTGAGGGCAGATGATACTGCAGCCATGACTAATACAGGATTACTAAATGCCCTGTGATGACTGCTTGGAAAGTATAGTAGTAAAAAGAGCTTCTGAATTCCAGTTTGAATGTGAACCATTAAACAATAAGAAAACACTCCTTATTCAAAATAAAAAAATCAAACACCCCGGAAGGAATTATGCAGCTCTCCTTGATTTCAATCCATTTAACAGGAAGTCAAGATACGTCCAAGTTTATTGTCATTATACTCATACACACGTACTGTATATGGTATAACGAAATGCTATTTAGCAGCTCTCGGATGGTAAGTAGTGCAAACACATTTTTAGCACAGTTTAAAGTGTAACTATTTGCCCACTTCCTAACTTGTATATCAATGCATTAATTATACTTCTCTCACCTGAAATCATTACAGATTCTGAGAACAAAACATCATTTTAAAATGTTAATCGTGGCAGAGAAAATGCTTTGTCACTCACAACTGTAAAACTGGAGACTGTGCCCCTGATCACATTTTATAGTGTATAACATCAAAGTTACCTGTAAAAAAATAATTCAGGTAATAATAATTACCATGTATTTTGTTCCTCGAAAATCATCTGCTACTAATCTGTATTGAAAACTGTCTCAACTGCCCCATATCAAGAAGAATAATATTAAACCAGAAATAAAGCTTTTGCAAATTTATTAATTTAATTTATTCTTACACACATTGTGGTTGTTAGAGAAAATTGGTTGTGCAGCCTGCAGAAACAAAATAGGAACGGATTGGAACAGTATTGTTATTTTAAAAGCAAGCAAGGGAAATCATGATCCAAAATATATATAAATACTGAACATTATTTTAAAATAAGTGTAAAAAAATTATATAAATATAACTAGGCTAGAGTGGAGACCTATATCAGGGAATGAGCTGCCCAGGAACAATATAGGCTTTACAGATAATGAGGTAAACTTTGACCAAAATGTTAATGTCAAAAGTTAATGAATGTGAAGGTTAAAGTGTGGAGATAAGAAACGTACTGCAGATTTTCCAAAGAACATCACCTCATCTGTGAAGCATGTTGTAGGTAATGTTGTAGCTTGGGCATGTTGGGCCACCTCTTCAGCTGGCTCCCTGTTCTTTATTGATGATATATCAAATATCGGCAGCAGGAAAATGATTGCCGATGATGCAGCAGGAAATAACCAAAAGCACACAGAGAATAAAACCAGGGAATTCATCAGGAGAAACAAGTGGAAAATTGTAGGCTGGCCAAGTCAATCTCCTGTCTTAAATCCAACAGAATATACTGTATGTTACATATTGAAGAACAAACTGAAGCCAGAACACCCCAAGAACTCGGAAGTGGCTTGGAAAATGTTCTCAAATACTTAATTTGTGGCCTTCATTCTTTCTGTGTGTATGCAGATAGCCCTTGTTCAGGGTCTGTTACAGTATGTTTGTGGTGTAATGGGATTCAATGTATGCTTGGAATTACCCCCAAAATAAAATGTATATTTTGTCGTAATTTTCAGTCATATTAATTTCATAATGATAAATTATAGATATTATATATGTGACCATGACGGCTTAGCAGGACACTAGGCACATCTAAGGCTCACTTTGCTACGGGAGTAATTCACAAGAAATAATTCAGAGCTAGCTAATAAATAGTTATTATACAGACTAATACTGTATACTGTACATGAAATGTATATGTAAATGCAGTAGTTATTGGGTAAGTCCAAACCCCTCCACCCAGCTTTCCTTCCCTAATATTTGTTTTGCATTAGTCTCTAGGGGCCAATATTGTCAGTGCCCATCCAAACTCGGACCTCAATCCTGTTCTTGCGGCTGCAAATTGTACACTCAGTGTTGTGTCACAGGGTGAGTAAGAATGAGACTGCTTTTATTTTCTAAGAAGGATGGCATAATAAAAGGTTGTAGATGAAATGAAGCAACTTGGCTCCTATTGCTCATCGGCAGTGTTCAGATCTTCAAAGGTCTGCTTTAGAATACCCATCAGGGTTCTTCTTGAATAGTGTCAGTGACTCAGCATCCGCAACATAACATGAGCGTATGTGCCGCTATCCCGTAAACTCTTTCATAGCCAGCAGCCATGTCACTCTGCAACTCACAACTGGCAACCTGCTGAAGCTCAGCAGGTGTGAGCCTGAGTGGGAAAAACTAAGGTTGCTGCTGGAAGAGGTGTTAGTGGGGCCAGCAGGGGGCGCTCACCCTGCGGTCCATGTGGGTCCTAATGCCCCAGTATAGTGACGGGGACACTATACTGTAAACAGGCGCTGTCCTTTTGATGAGACATAAAACCGAGGGCCTGACTCTCTGTGGTCATTAAAAAACTCCCAGGGTGTTTCTCAAAAAGAGTAGGGGTGTAACCCTGGTGTCCTGGCCAAATTTCCCATTGGCCCCTTATCAGTCATGGCCTCCTAATAATCCCCATCTATGAATTGGCTTCATTACTCTGCTCTCCTCCCCACTGATAGCTGATGTGTGGTGAGCATTCTGGTGCACTATGGCTGCCGTCACATCATCCAGGTGGGGCTGCACATTGGTGGTGGTGGAGGGGAGTCCCCATTACCTGTTAAGCGTTTTAAGTGTAGTGTCCAGAAAAGTGCTATATAAGTGTAAGCAATTATTGTAATTATTATAAAGATACATTTACTGTTTCCTGTCATTTTGCTCAGATAGAATACAACTTACTGTATACTTGTGGAGCTACTTTATCGGATTTAAGAGCTTACATGTAGAATTAATGTTCTTATATATTATAGCACACAGCTTTATTAATTTAAATACATTGATTTCTCATAAATAAAATGGTTCCAATTGTTTTACTATCATCGTGTCAAAGATGAATGTATATAGACCGAGAAAGAATAGAACACAATAAATTCTAATCTTAAGATTTGTCTTGAAATATTTTCTTTATTTTACAACACATTTAAAGCCATGCATGTTTTGCAAAATGTTGAACCTCTTTTCAAAGTTTCAGAATTAATCTCAGTGCTAGTTTTTGTTTTGTTTGGCAGTGGGTGTTTTAATGGTCCTGCTGTATGATTTGAGTCTTATATTTTGTGAAGGGTGATCATTCCAGTGAAGTACTATACAATGTTTTATTTTCAATTTTTATCATGTTTTTCTAATAGGAGGCAAAGAGAACATTATATTAAATGAAGATTTCTTTGTTGGATTTGGAAAAACGGCTCTAACCCCAGATGAAATATTAGTTTCTGTTTTCATACCCTTTTCTAAAAGGGTAAGTATGATTTCAGTTCTTAACTACCAATATTGCAAGTTTTGAATTCTAAAGATGCTTTTCCCTTATTATAGTGCTAAAAAATATTTTGCTTAATCATTAAAATATTTTGCTTAATCATTAAAATATTTTGCTCAATATTGTACTATCTTTACAATCATTTTGCTCAATCATGTGAGTAGAGTGCTATAATGTTTTCTCTGTTTCACATTTCTGTGGCTAATGTTATAAGGGGTCATACTGCAGTTATACTGTACTAATTCAATTTAAAAAGCTGCATGTGATGGAAATATTCAGGTGGATACAATGGAATGAAGAGTTCATTTTGAGAAGGCCAGAAAGAGTCCAGAAAAGCTTTCATTCAAAATTTGACATTATTTAATTTATCTCACATAAGTAATGATATTGATTCTCATTGATAAATAAATGATATTTCTGTCAGTTTTCATAAAGATGTAAGCTTATGTTCACAAATCTTTGTGAACCATGTTACTCCATGACAAGGTTATTGTTCACAAGGTTTGTCCACCATATTGGACATTGCAAAAATGCTTGAACGATTCCTATAAAGTTGTCAGGTGAAACACAGCAAAACCTGGTATAAATGATTAAATATTGTAAATAACCAGTTTTGCTAGAAATTATTGCTGAGCAGAAACCCTCCCTAAGAGCAAGGCAGAACTTGGAGGGGAAGCTATTTATTTTGTAAGGAATAACGAATCCAGTTTCATTTAATTTATCCGAATCGATTAGCATGTCTTGGGGACATGTTTTTTTCAAAGTCATGATTTCTGTCTTGCTGAGATCAATTTCTTAGGCCTTTCATTTCTTCAAACATTAAAAAAGTACTTGCTTTAATTTAGGTCTGTTAGTACAATTATTTATAATTTAATTGCCAATTGCCAGAAGCATTTACTGTTCTCTTTGAAATGAAATGTGAAAGATGGTACTGTGAGATACCCGTTATGCTCCACTGTGTTTTTCAGGGCGAGTTTGTAAGAGTTTTCCGCCAGGCCCCACGGCAGGAAAATGCCTTCTGTTCCGTCAACTCTGGGATGAAAGTCCAGTTTAAAGAGGGAACAGCTGTTGTAGAAGACCTGAGCATTTTTTATGGAGGCGTTGGCCCCTGTACTGTCAAAGCCAAGAAAACCTGTCAGGAAATCATTGGAAGGTAGGGAGAAGTTCCATTTCAGATATGTTCCCTATTAACCTACAGAACTTTTCCCACTTGTGTGAAGCTTTAAAAGTTGCACAGGGCCATTAAAAGAGATTTATAGCGTTTATCCATTTTCTAAATGCTTCATTCAGTTCAGGGTCGTGGGGGAGCCGGAGCCTATCCCAGCAATCACCAAGCTCAAAAAAGGATCCACCCTGGACAGGACACACGCCGTCGCAGGGCATACACAGACACAAGCACAGACACACACACTCACACCAAGGCCCATTTCCCCAGAAGCCAGTTAGCCAACAAGTATGTCTTTGGACTGGGAACACCCAGTGGAAACCCACATGAACTTGGGGAGAACATGCTAACCCCACCAAGATATTGCAATGAACCCAGGGCCTCAGCACTGCAGGACAGCAATGCTAACCATTGTGCCACCGTGCCACCCTTTTTAATAGTTATTTATAGTCTAAGCGTAAACATGCTCATAGGCCAGCTATGGTTTTTGTGATATTGATCTTCCTGTAACCAGCCGAAGTACTGTAAACCCCAATCCAAGTTGCTGTGAGCTACAGTATTTGAGCCGCATTGGAATCAGTGATTTCTCATAACGTTAGCTAAATGTTTTCAGAATTGATATGTATCCTCTTACAGTACGTGTATAAAACAAGCAATAGCATAACAACTTTTGGCAATGAGAGAAGGGCGTTTCGCTGATCTTTTTCATTTAGTGGCTAGTAGCTCAAAGCTCTTATCCATCTGTTTCTCGAAGGACACCACGAAATCAGCAACGTGGCTGGGCAGTTTGTTCTAGATCCCCACAATCCCTTTGTGTAAAGGTGTTTTTCCTGTTATCAATTCTAAAAGGACATGTGCCTTAGTTTCCACTTCCTCAGCTCTCTGTTTCACCATTAGTCCTGATCCTGAAGTAATCTTATAAGTCAGTGCCTTTGAGGATTTCAAAGATTCTGCTTTTTCATTTTGGTACATTAACAATAACACAAGTTTGACACTTTTGAGCTCTAAGAAAATAAGACGGGTTCGCCCAGTTCTATAGTACAAAAATCAACCATACAAGAACTTGCATTACGGCTCACAACACATGAAGTAGTTTTCATTTTCTCTTTTTCATTACCCATCTAGGCCCTGGAATGAAAAAACCATTAGCGAAGCCTACAGGCTTCTTCTGGATGAAATAGAGCTTCCACCTTCTGCACCAGGAGGTATGGTGGAGTTCAGAAGAGCTCTGACACTCAGCTTCCTTTTCAAATTTTACCTGGAAATGTTGCAGAAACTCGGAGAGATGGTAAGCAGTCTTTTAAACTGCATAATTCTCCAAGCCTCCAAGTGCACATTAGGTTGTAATTCAGAAGTTCCAGAATCCATTTTTTTCTGTTATTTGGACAACGATGTGAGGTAAAATATATTTAGCTTTTCAGGGGACCTGAGAATAGTTAAAGAATTGTAAGATACTGTTAGGTAAGAGATAAGATCACTTTATTGGCCATATACAATTTCTTGTTTTTGGAATTTGTCTTTTCACATACCCAAACTTGCTCTCCATGAGACACACAGACAGGGAGAGAAGCTTGGGGTCAGAGCGCAGGGTCAGCCATTTATACGGTACCCCTGGAGCAGTTGAGGTTAAGGGCCTTGCTCAGGGGCTCAATGGAGTATGATTCCTCTGCTGGCCACAAGATACGAACCAGCAACCTTCCAGTCACAGTGCCACCGCACCCTGTATCAATTGTCAATTGTCATGACATTCAAAGAACTGTTCAGAGAACTAAAAATAAATTAATAGTATGACTAACAGCAGAGATACAGGTTGTTGATTTTGTTGTGAATAAAGTGCCCAACCTTACAGTGAATTAGTTAGTAGCCTTAGCTTTTTTTTAGATCATACCAGAGAAAAAAAGTAATTTTAAGCTAAAGTAGATGTATTGTACATAACGTGAGGGATCCTACTAATAATTGTGTTCATTCTTAGCTGTTTTTTGTTTTCAGTACAGTTATTCCATTTTGCTCTTTTTGCAATCTGATAAGTCCCTGTTTCCTGTAGAATGTAACCCTTGAGGATGTTCCTGGAGAATTTGCCAGTGCAATACGGTTCTTCCCTCAAAAAAGGGAACACAGTGTTCAGGAGTTTCAGGTTTGTATCCCACCTGAAATACTGTTACACCTGTAAAACAATAAAGATGTTTTATTCCTAGTTTCATGTGTAAATAGGGAAATAATTGTGGGAGGATGTTAGCAACAAGAATGTTAAGGGGAAGGTAAATTCTGAATACCTTATTCTTGTAATACTGTTTTTTTTCTGTTTTTTTAGAATTTACATTTTTCACAGTTTCTCAAGTGAAAGTGCTATGGTTCAATATTTGACATGATGAAAGTACTAACATTTGCTCAGGTATTATTGAAAAAGCCCATAAGGAATTTTCAATAAAAGGGAAAGGGAATCAACCCCTTCATATAATGGTGATTTTGTTTCATACATAAATTTGTATGCTTAGCTGCAGTGCCTCTTATGTACTGAATTTTTCTGCTCTGAGACATATTTGGTACTGCCTATCGTGTGTTGCAAGATGAGTGTGATTAATTAATTGTTTAATGCTCTTTTCCTTGTAATAGCATATTCCTTTCAATTTCAAGGTGGTGGCTCATGATCAACCATGCTGGGATCCTGTGGGGCATCCCATAATGCACCGGTCAGCGATCAGCCAGGCGACAGGAGAAGCTGTTTACTGCGATGACATTCCGAAGACAGAAGGCGAGCTGTTTCTAGTCTTGGTGACTAGCACAAGGCCTCATGCAAAGCTGATGTACGCAGCTTTTTTTTCAAATAAACTTCTTCAACTGTTCTTTAACATGTAGGAAGTTTATGTACAAGATTTAGGGTCGTTGGTATTTACTACCATGCATAAACATCCCGTTAATCAGGTACACTTAATGTAAATCAAATACTAACCTGAAGAGACTTGATAAATTAGTCCAAATAATGAAATCTTTAGGTTGGTTAAGCCAATAAAAGCTTGCTTGGATAGATTTAATCCAAACATACTATGGTCCTACAGAGTCTGTAGACTTCTTCTCTTCAATAACCCAGTGTTGGTGCTGGGTAGAGTGTTGAATAGATCTATATTTATAACACGTCTGGTGTCACATGGGACAACATTCAGTCTTGTCTATTTCTTTCTGTATTTCAAACAGTTAACAAAGATGTACTGTAGCAAAGCGCTAGTGATAAATATAAAAAAGGCGTATTAAAGAAGCAAATTAAGAACAAGGTTTCAAAGGGATTTCTGAAACTTAATTTGCATTGATCACATGCTTTTTAAAATTATTTTCAGGTATTTATATATAGTAACTAATGTAGAAAAATGTTGTGGAGACATGTGGCTTCCATTTCATAATGTTTAGGAAAGAGAGTATAGAGTAATTAATGGAAAGAAACTACAACCAGTTAAGTAAGATATGTGAAAAAGTCAGATTTAGTATTAGATGGTTACTTTGTGTTAAAGAGGAATGTTGCTGGAATGGCAGAGGAAAGCACAAGCAGTTAGCACTAAGAAAATGTTCAACATCAGGCCATTACAGATCCACCATGGTTAATCTTGTTATTACGTATGCTAATGACTGATGATCACTCAGTAATAAGTCAGTCCATTCAACAGTTTACATGGGTGTACTGTCTTATGTAGTGATAATCGCTATGCAAAATCCTTTCAGCAATTAAATGTCATCTTGCTTTTTATTTTATTTTCAAAGAATAGTGCAGATTTGGCTGACACTTGGGGCATTGAATCACATTGTAACCAGGCAGATGTTGTTGGCTGTAGGAACATGAAGAAGTATTTTAATTTGTTTTACTAGTTAATTGAACTGAGTTCATCCAGACCACTCTTGAGAAAAAACAGGACATTTTATTCAAATGTAAGGCTGGATTCCATGTTCCAGTCTTCTACAACTCTTTGTGTAAAAAACCTTACCAACACCTTGCAATTTAATGAGTTGAGTGGGCTACAGCCATGTAAATATCATTGTATATATTTCAATACTAATAAAGATAGATTTTATAAGTATAAAATATTACCTTTTAAGTTATTTCGCTATCATAAATGTTTGGTGAAAATACATACAGTATGCTACAGTATAATATTAGTAGGAATATACAACATATAGTTCTATATTGCTGTAATATCAAGAAAAACATACAGTACTGGAGAGCTGCTGGCTAGCCCTGCACTTCAGCCCTTTGTTTCCTTAGTCCTGTAGGAGATGATATAGGAGAAGAAATGCTAGTTATCATCTGGTGTTTCTCCCTGCAGCGGCATTGATACAAGTGAAGCTCTTAAAGTACCAGGAGTTGTGGATGTGATAACTGCAAAAGATATCCCTGGAAAAAAATTCAGGACCTTCACCAATATTGATGAGGAGTTACTGGCTGAGAATGAGGTACGGGGAGGAAGACTTATAATTCTGCCAAACTATTTGCTTTATCGTAGGTGTCTGATGCTAGACCACTCTTTTGCAAGGTAAAGAGACACAGCAGAAGGCACTATTCTTGCTGTCTGGAACCTGTAGGACCCTTACAGTGTTACAACTGCCTCGTTTTCATTTACAGATCTGGGTGCTGCAGTATCTGCCATGCTTGTCTGTGTTTTGATAACACAGTCTCTGTCTCATTTGTCTCTGTGGAGCGCAGGTGTCCTGTGTGGGTCAACTGGTATGCGCCGTGGTGGCAGATACGAAGCCACATGCTAAAAGGGGGGCAGCGGCCATCAAGATCACCTACGAAGACCTGCAGCCATTGATCTTCACCATCCAGGTGCCTGCAGCTGGTGCCTGGGAATTCGGTGACACAATCAAAAAAAGCTGTTCATGAACAGAAAACATACAGTATTTTAGATGATCTTGTAGGGAGGTACAGCACAGCACAGCTCCAGCCCCCTTTTCAGTTCTCCTTAAAAGCCAGATGCTTACTCTGTTCCGGGCTCTGCATTGGTTCCCGTACCAGGCGAGTCTGGGACCTGGAAGTGCCTGGTCCTATCAAGTTTTTAGTTCCTGTTCCTGTTCCCGTTCCTGTGCCGGTCCCGACCCAGCTCCTGTTTTTAACCCCGTTTGTCTTGGGTGGACCGCCCGGCTTTGGACTTTTGCCTCCTCCTGGATTCCCCCTTGGACTTATTTCTTGATTGTTTGCCTCGGCCACACTTTCCCCGATCACCAGCGGACCATGGACATGCCCCCTGTTTTCATTCCCGACTCCCGAATGCTTTTTTCCCTGTGTTTTCCTCACTCATCCCCGGATTGTGTAGTCTACATAGGGTCCGGAAAGAACGCTTCCGTTACAGTAACAGCTGGGCAGCACGGTGGTGCAGTAGTTAGCGCTGCTGCCTCACAGTGCTGCTGCCCTGGTTTCGGTTCCTGGGGTGCTATCTTTGTGGAGTTTGTATTCACCCTCCATGTTTATTTAAATTCCTGCTGGGTGGACCGGTTTCCTCCCACAGTCCAATGACATACTGGGAGGTTAATTGATTGGCCTCTGGGAAAAGTGGCCCTGGTGTGAGTGTCTCAGTGTTTGTGTCTGTGTGTGCCCTGCGATTGACTGGCATCTCAGTACAGGGTGTATTTCCCTTTGTGCCAAATGCTTGCTAGTTTTTTTTCCAGCTCCCCTGCACAAACATGTGCTGGATAAATGTATGAGAAAGTAAACAGATGGATGTAACAGTTCATACCAAATAATTTTATGCACCAGCATGAATGCATGTTCCAACATGAAGCTGTCAGAGAATATCACAAATTCATTCCGTCAGCTAATGTAGTCACAGCCAGAGTCAAACAGTTTGTTGTTGCCTGAATTCTACAATCTCTGTGTGAAGTCTGGGTTATCTCTCCCCTCTTTACGTTTTGATCGTCACTGTTCAACATTTGGCTAATAAAAAATGTGCAAGTGCAGCAAATTCTGAAATACTGCACTTAGCATTTGCATATTTACTGCTATCATTGATTTAGAATATACTGTATCTATATGATATATAAGATACATAAGAAAATTACCTGAATGGAAAATGCAGAGATTGTTTCTCTGCAATATAAATTGGCCTAGAAAACATTTATGTGCATGTCAGAATTTAATATACTGTATAGTGCATAATAAGTCATTTAATATCAATCATATGATTAATATTTAATCAAATATTAAATATACAATATATTTAAAATGTTAATATCAACAATATGTTTCATAATTGAATAATAATTTGATTAGTTTAATAGTTTTAATCCCAAAGTATCCCAAAGCAATCAGTAGGAGGGATCTGCATCACCCAATTCTAGGTTACTGGAAATTATATTTTGCAGCTTGTTTGTAGATTAAATTCTGTATCTCCGTTGCAGCACACAAAATAAAGAGAAACAACCGTTCTAAGCACAAAAATGATTTACTTATCAAATTCATAAATGTATGTAAATAAGCATGAATAAATTAGTTAACTTTCAGATATATGGTGAATATATAGGCTCTCCACATATAATTACTGTCACTTTTGTTTTTTTTAACTTCCGAAGTAGACCACTTACAACATCTATCAAATACAGAGTAGCCGGTATTTTGGAAGGTTAGAGTATGTTGAAGTTTATTGTGAGGACCATTGCTTGACAAGACTTTAGAGGAAGTTGATTGCTCCTCTTCCAGATGTTGGACATTTTTGGAGTTCTTAATCATTAAAAACTGAGCTCCACAGTGCAATAAAGAAATCATAGGGCACACAGCTCTAATACCAGCGAGCAAATTGCTTGGGCTTAATATTTAAGGTTTTATGACACAGTGTTGAGTATCCTGCTTGTTGTTTTGATTTTGGCTTTTTATTAAACATTTTCATTCTTATTTTCGGAATGTTAGGAAGCCATCGAGAAGCAATCTTTCTTTAAGCCTCAGAGAAGAATAGAAAAGGGAAATGTGGAAGAGGCATTTGAGAAGGCTGACCAAGTCCTTGAAGGTAAGTGTGTATCTGCCACAGAAAATGTATTTTGAATTGAATCATTTTCAATGCATTTCTGCATTTACCTGGACTTTTAAAGTTTCAAGTTATGAATTCCAATCAGGTTGCTATTGTGTAATCTGTAGCAAGCTGTGCCATACAGTACATTTGCTACATTTGTTTACCACTATGGTGCTATATAATCTTCCATTTATTCTAGTGTCTTATCCTTTCATTTTGTTTGCCAGGGGAAATACAGATTGGTGGACAGGAGCATTTCTACATGGAAACACAGAGCATGCTTGTCATTCCTGTTCAAGAAGACAAAGAATTTAAAGTCTTCATAGCCACACAACACCCATCTTACACTCAGGTAACAGAGTCTGGTGTTTGGGGAGGAAAACATACTTCTGTCTTTCCCAGATTTGAATGATGATGTTACTTCAGATTTTTAAAGTATATATGTTAATTAATATATATTTATTATAAATACAATTTATATATAATAATATATATACATTAAAGTATACATTTACCATTTAGTGAGTAGCATGACTCAGTATGTAGTCATCACTTGGGAAGTTTGTGATCTGCTTCATATTTATCCCATTTATGTAGATGGGGTAGTTTCATAATGATGTTAGAAACATACATTCTGTCACACCCAGTATGTTTCTGACCTGAACTAACACAACTGAGAGTGAACATTATTACCTATTAAAGACATTTATGGTATGTGGGGTTATTAATATGTATTTTTTATTTCTTATTAGTGCAATTCAAGTCCAAAAATAGGACTGAAATTCAAGTCAGACTATACAGAAACTTCTGTGTATAAACTACACTGTTGATACAATTTGATACTACTCAATGCTCTTAAAATAAAATCACTCTACCTTTCATTCATAAAGCCAGGAAGGATAACAGGCTCCATAACTCTCCAGAGTTATGGAGTCTATACCAGAGAGAAGCTTCTGGTGTTCCTTATAGAAAAATTATACTATGAAGCCTATACCGTGAGTCCTTCCTGCAAAAAAGTAGTGAACATATAAACATATACTGTATAAACTATATAAACACATAGCAAACGTATAGTTTGACAAACAACTGCTGGCTAGAGGCGTAACATGCACTTGATAATTCAGTGCATATTATAGCACTGATATTATAGCAGGAAAAGGTCAAGAAAACAGAAGGTTATTTCAGAATACTGTTACAAATGGAGGATTAGAAAAAGGAGAAAATGAACAAGTAGATTAGGGAATAAGTCAAATAAATTATCATAACCCCCAACTTGTAAAGAATTCTGCCAAGAATATACCAAAGCGGTTGGTATATGTTAGAGGTACAGTATAAGTTAGAGGCATGTGAATTCATTGTTCTCTGGCACAGCTTTGGTGAAAAGAGTAATTTCCGGCACACTTGGTTAAAACACCCACTACACTTCATACGTCCACAAGTTACTATATTTGCACTTTTACAGATAAGATTTTTAGAGAACTATGTCTAGACCACCCAGAAAACCCCAGGCTGCTACCAAGTGTTTGACTAATGTCTACACAGGCCAAAGAAGAGAGAAGCTGCCTTTTAAACTAAGTAGAATACAACCTACAATTAAATCTCTCTCTAATGCCACAAAATAAATGGGAGCCTATATCATTTTTCTAAAACGCATCCATGAAGCAAGAGAGGCAGTTTTAAACCAAGGGATTCTTCACTTGGAAACTCCCAAGTTCCCTAAAAGCTATAGAATAGCAAACTCTCCTTGGAAGATTCAGATACCTAAGTCGAGTTGGGTTTTATCAGATGATCATGAAGAAGGACTCTAGCCTGACACCAGATTCAGGTTCCACCTGTTTCTCTCGTCTTTATCTCGCACTGGTCTGACCTTTGTTTTCAATTTTCTTTTTCCCCCTATCTTGATCTGTTCTTATATGGTCTCTTTCTGGACTATTACCCAAGAATGTAATTATGTAAACCAGAAGATTCTTTTGATCAGTGTGTCTCACACCCTGCACGTAAGTAAGCATCCCTTGGTTTGAAGCTCTATGAAGTGGAAATCTTGACACTATTTAGGTGTTACCCATTATGTCTAGATTCCTAGAGAGACCTCCATTGTCATCTAGCTTAGGCTGTAACAATATTTAGGCATAATAAGAGGAAATATAAAGTATAAAAAAACAGAAAACATAAGAGGCAAGAAAATGAAAATCCTATAAATGTTACAGTATGTATGTAAATATACTTATATTTGGAAAGTTGTTGTTAGAGTCCAGTGGGTCATGGTCCCACCAAATAAAAGTGTAAAAGAAATATAAAATAAACTCATCAAACACAACAAAACCTAAAAACCTTTGCACTTTTTTAAAGTTAATGAACAATATAGTTCTATAATCAGACTTCATAATGTACAATGTGGTAAGGGCGACTGTTGGTTTCCATTCATACAGTACGTCATCCAGACATGAGTACAAGATACACCATTGCCATCAGGGCCTGGTGTACACAAACTCTTATTACAGGCACAGCAGCTACTGTATGAACACTCATGCATGGGCTTTAATGGTTTTGTTTGGGTACAAAGGGACCAGCTGTATCCATGCTGTGCTTTGTTTTGCATAGGCTACTCTGCACTAGTGAGTTAGTTTAGAAAGCGTTTATTTTGAAAATGTCTGGACAGGGGTAGTGGTACTTCACAGTTCTTGGCTTATGGGCTCGATTCTTGCTTGGTGCATGTTCTGTTGCGATTGCATTATGATCATTATGATTGCAACAGCTTTCCCTTGGCTTATCAAGTTTTCTGTTCTCTTTTCACTCTATGAATAAACATACCCTAAAGTAAGAAAGCTCGCAACTGCTCAGAATTCTCAGTTAAACCTCTAAACACGGCTTTTGTGATCAAAGTATTCTTAAATTTAAACATTTCACTTTTTAATTAATTTACTTTTTTTTTTATTCAGTGTGACAAATATGTCTCCACATTGTGTTTCTTGTATGAAACATATCATCATATACAGTACCATTCTCAGTTGCCTGTATTTTGTACTATTAATTTATTTGGCCAGGACCATACATAGGATTATGGTATTCATGCTGTGCTCAGAAGTGAAAACTGTACTGGGTCCATATCAGTTTGCATATAAACACCAGCGGGGCACCGATGATGCAATTAACAGCATTATGCATCTTGTTGTAAAACACCTAGAGGACCCTAATGCCTATGCTCTGATGCTGTTTGTGGAAATGCTCTGCATTTAATATGCTGCAGCCCCATCTATTGATTAGCAAGTTGAAGCAAATGTCCGTTAGCCATAACATTATAAGATGGTACCATTCCTTTTTAACAAATTGCACACAGTATGTCAGGGTCAACAAAACTCTTTCTGAGTCACGATCTGTTAGCACAGGTGCCCCTTAGGACTGTGTGAGCTCTCGAGTTTCACACTTTATACAAATGATTGTACAAGCATTAGTCAAAGCAACTTCATTTTCAAATTTTCAGATGATACAGCTGGTCTTGGCTTAATGCATAGAGGTATACAAGTCTGTATACATGTCAGAAATCCAAAGGTATTTGCAATGGTGTGACCACAATAGCCTAATTCTGAATGTTAAAAAAGAAGCAGAGCAGTTGGTGATCACTCACATGTAGTAATCCACAATGAATTTATCACTCAGATTGATTCATATAAGTACTTAGGTGTACACATAGACAGTAACCTCTGCTGGTCTACTCATGTTGAGAGTGTTTGATCCAAGGTTCAGCAGCGCTTATATTTCCTGCAAAGACTAAGAGTGTTTGGGGTTCTACAGGAAGTAATGCTACTCTTTTACCATGCTGTAATCGAAAGCATTATCAGAAATACAGTGTGGTTTGGTAATCTATCAATTCATTTAAAATCACAAATACGTGCCTCATTCAGACAGCTTTGAAGGTCATGGGAGTGAAACAGCACCCCTCCCTGCAGACAATCTTTGAAAAATCCATAATCAAACAGGCAGGAAAAATGATATCAGATCCTTCCCACAACCTCAACTCTGAATATCAACTTCTTCCTGCTGGTTTTAGGGTTCCCAAATGTAAGTCAAATGGATACAAACATTCCTTTGTTCCGCTTTCCATTAAAGCTGTCAACACAAATGTCAAGGATAAACACAATTTTGACTCTTACAACCCACTTGAGTGCAATATGTTTTTGTGAGGTGTTATAAATGCTACATGCCATTATGTGTTGTACTGTACATGTGCAATAGAGTGATGTGCAATGTTTTTCTTATTTTTTATGGAATATTGTGTAATGTTTTTTTCTTCCTTTTTTTTTGGTTTGCATTCTATTTAAATGCACAGGAGTGCTGTGTGTCCAAATAAAATTTCCCCCCAGGGGACAATAAATCATCTTATCTTATCTTAGATCTTACATTCCTTTTTAGGAAGCAGTAGCTGAAACACTAGGAATCCCATCAAACCGGGTCTCCTGTCATGTGAAAAGGCTCGGTGGTGCTTTTGGCGGGAAGGTAACGCGAACGTCAGTTATGGCATCCATCACTGCTGTAGCTGCTTGGAAGTAAGTGAAAACTGGAGCCAAACGAATTAGAGAGGGTTGAGGCTTGTGGTTTTCATATTTTTTTTTATTACCATCACAGAACGTTTGACGGTTCAGGAACGCCTTTTCCATTAGTAACCTCAGGTAGCTCTAGTGTTCAGATCATACAATCAGAGGATCTGCAGTGTATTTGAATTATTTATATGTGACATCACTTTAACTTATTATACTTGTTTAATTCAACCTTATAACATCTCACCTCCTGGTATCCTATCTTATTTTGTGGGTCTGAATATTTTTCTTGATTATGTGTTCCCTCCATTCCTGTTTCCCAAAAGAGAGACAGAAATCAGTTCATCCTTCAAGGTGACTGTGTGGTTGAATGGGCATTTCAATATTTTTGTTAATTGTGTTACAATAACATACAGTATGTGTTCTCCTAATCCAGTTTGTTTATCATGTGGGGTAACCTCGATGGACGTATTTGTCCCCTCATTTTTATACATAGACTTTCCGAAGGTGCAATTCTGTATATCTCGATACCTTCTGGGGTATAAACCCTTATAATGTCAAGTCTGTCCATATAACATCCCAGAAACCTCCAATTTTTCTCCTCCAGGTGGCATGCTAGCATTCGAATCACCCTGATGGTGTCGAATCACCCTGATGGGGAAAATAATATAGGACTTCAGCAGTTTACTTAGCCACTGATCTTGGCTTCTTCACTATTCAACTTCTCTGTGCTGAGGGAGAAGCACTTATTATCTATTATGCCCATACCTCTTGTTACAAATATTCTTTTTATGAAAATACAATACTACGAAGCATGTGAATTGTTACCCATATTTCGAATAACAGAAGTCAACTTTGAAACTGCGAAGAAGTGTAGAGAGTGACGAGGAAGGTGTCATATGACCAATTTCATATTGAGTGTACGCATTACATCCCACTATCTAGTCTGAGTGAGAGCTAGCACAGAGCCTACAGAATGGCAGGAGAGATGTGTGATAGGTTCACCGCGTCTTACTTCGTGAGATGTTCACTTTTAATAATAATAATAATTTCTTACACTTATATAGCATTTTTCTATGGTGTAGACTTTATCATGTAGCCTAAAGGTGTTAAGAAAATGAAAATTGTGAGTGTGTGTAATTACACAAACATCAAATGAAGTGGTTACTGTGCTGTACAGTACTTAGGAATGATTAATTACGTCTGATTGGGTATTATATTATTACTAAAAACACAAACCACAGTATTAATGATAGTTATTCTTGTTTCTTTTCTCATTTCCAAGTTTTACAGATTTTCGCTATTTATATGGGTTTCTGGTAACAAATTAAATTCGGAAAAAGAGATACAGGTGTACTTACACAGGGAGGGGTTCCAGTGTTGTTCAGATGCACCAAGGGGGTTTCCATGATGCTATGAAGCTCCTTCATCCTGTCTCCCTCAGGGTGACACAGATCAGGAACATTGCCTTCACCCTACATGTGTATTTTTGCAAGAACATTTGGTTTCTTTTCCTACCCTCTTCTGAAAGCAGATTTGGAAAGCAGCACTCCTTCATATTCAATCATAAGTTCCTGAAACACAAAGAGGAACAGGCAGCAAGTTAGTCCCTGTCTGCTGACATCAACACTTCTTTCCTGGGCCCTACTCTTCCTCCAAGTCCTCCTGAGCTTTACCAGTGTTGTTCTGCAGGACTGGGCTCACCTGAGACCAATGTCTCCACCTAGGCCCCCATTTTCTTCTATTTTGAATCTGAAAAACACGCAAAAAGATTAGTGATCAGTAGCACCTGGTAGGGGTTCCCCCCAACTAGATTCTAATATCCCTTTCACTGGTTTCTTTACAGATACACAACCTGCTACCTAGGTACTCCAAATGACTTGGTTAGAATCTGCACTTGTTTTGTCTGTCTGATTCTGACTCTCTTTAGCCTGCTGGTTTGCAGAACGCTTTTCATTAGCACCTGGAGATTATTAACTCTAACTCATGTCTTGTCAGTCAAGTTGTCCTGCTAGAAGTCACCCTAATACTCCAATGGATGGCAGGTAGCATTATACTGTATGCCACTCTTTGCCAGTCTGATGCACTGCTTTGCTCAGCTGAGTAGTAAGTGTCCAGTTCATTCTGCAACAACATAACTCTGTGGGTAATACTTTTGTTTCACCCCTGGAAGCCTGTAAAGCGTTTCCCTTGATCTGAATCAGTACCATATGGTACACCCCATCCAAGGGAAATACCTCAGCGGCGTAGAGCTTGGCTTTTAAGATTCTACCCGTGCTGCTCTTGCAGCTTTAAGATCCCATATACAGGTATCTGCATAATCTTAATTTCAGATGTGTGTAGTTGTGTACTGTTTTGATTCTTTTAATTATTTACAAGATGAAAATATGGGTCATCAAAGTTAAAATTTGTATACATCTTACCACATTTCATGTGGTCAGATGATGTGCACGATAAATTGAAAGGCTTTTTGTGATCTTTCACTTGAATGTGGAATATTCAGTTGTTCTTGTAATAACTACGGGTTCATTTAGGAAAGGACACTAGGAGACAGTATAGGCACACAAGCACCTTCCTTTTGTTTTTTACAAGTACCACTAAGACATTTACACACATATTAGGGGATAAACGGAACAATACACAGGTTTAGGGTGGTAACTCTTTAACAGACTCTACACACTTAAATTGTGAGACTAAGGTACAGAGAACATGTTAGCTAAGAGGTTTATTAACATAAGCAGGGTCAGTTGCTGGACCCCGGATTTCCCCCTGGGTACAACTCCCAGCCTGCTTTGCGGTACCCTCAGCAACTCGGTGCGCTTCATCCTCAACACTGGGAGAGGGTGCTACATTATTGCATAAATTACAAGTGGTTGTAAAAAACACCAAAAGAGGACAACACTGCAATCCCTGTGAAAGATAAATTATCTCCTGCCTCACATTGTGCTGGAGGACAATAATTCTCTGAGAGATAATTTAGGTTTGGGTGGCAAAGAGGTTAGCATTGCTGTCTTGTAGCACTGGGGTCCTGGGTTCAATTCCTGGTGTGCTATCAGCATGGAGTTTGTATGTTCTCCCTGTGTTCGCACAGGGTTCCTCCATGTTCTCCGGTTTCCTTTCACAGTTCATACATATATTGGTTGGTAAACTGGCTTCGGGGAAAATTTGCTCTGTTGTGCATATTAGCGCATTTATAATAATAAGTGCTTACACTTATATAGCGCTTTTCTAGACACTCCACTCAAAGTGCTTTACAGGTAATAGGGACTCTCCACCACCACCAATGTGCAGCCCCACCTGGATGATGCGACGGCAGCCATAGTGCACCAGAATACTCACTAATAGTGCACCAGAATACTCACTACACATCAGCTATCAGTGGGGAGGAGAGCAGAGTAATGAAGCCAGTTCATAGATGGAGATTATTAGGAGGCCAAACACTATATTCAGTAAGTGTACGCAATTATTATTATTATTAGAACAAGTAATAGGTTTATTCCATGCTGAAAAAAAGAAGAGAGAAAACACAACGTTTCGGCCGTGGAGCCTTCTTCAGGTGTGTTATTATTCACATATCATTGTCCAGATATCAGCACAACTGGATTGTCACCCCATTGACCTAGGATTTAACTGCTCTTTAATTTAGCCACAATTACACCAGCGAGACCTATATAAACCTAATGTGGTTAACTAGATGCACAAGTCCTTAGCTCTATCTGATGTTGCTGTAGCTATCCAAATACATGGAAGCTGCTGTTACCTTTTATAACGTGTTAATCAATGGCATTTTTCACAGGCTTTGTATTATGTTTGACTGTGCTGTTTGAAGTTATTCACTGCCTCTCAGGACAGATCGAGCTGTGCGTTGTGTGCTGGAGCGAGGAGAAGACATGCTGATAACAGGGGGTCGCCATCCAGTCCTGGCAAAATACAAGGTTAGAGGGAGGCTTTTCATGTGAGAATGATAAATGGTTTGTAAAATCCACATGTATCACACTATCAGTGTTGGGTGATAATCCAGTCCTGGCCAATGCCATTGAATAGACAAGATAAGTGCCTTGTGATTACTGTATGTTATGGTAAGTTAGCAGGAATAAAGAGTGCCCTCCAGATGTATTAATAACCCGATAAAGTAAGAACAAAAAACAGAATATATCAGAATGAGTTACATATTGGATAATGTCTCAATTACAACTTCTAATTCTGTCACCTGTAATCATCATAGCACAGAGCAAAATCATATTTGACATAAATAATTAATTGAATTCCAGAAAACAAGAGGGTCGCACTTATTTGCACCTCTAAGGACTCCTTTGAAAATAATTCAACAAAAACAAAGCAACAATTACGTTCAGCTTTTTGGAAGTGCAGTGGAAGCCTCTGGAACTATGTAAAGGCCTCTGAAGGGTTTCTGTTTCCCCAAGGTGAAAGAGGAGGTAATACACAAAAAACATTCAGTAGGTCAGAGAGCTCTTTGAAGACTGCAGGCAAGTGGTCATTGACCTCCAGAAGTTCTAGAACTTGGGTGAATGGCTGTAAAAAAATCCACAAATGCGAAATCAATTGTAGTGAAATTATTAAGAAATTTCAAGCCGCTAGTGGCAGCCCTGCAGGAATAGGAAGCAACTGTATCTTGCCACCATGAGCTAGAAACAAGTGGTTAGGGAGGCTACCCAAGGCAACAGTTGGAGATCACTAATGCACACTGGCATCTCCACGATACAAAGCATTGAATAATACCATTCATGATAATGGGATTCATAGCTGGATTGCAAGGAAGCAGCTTCTGCTGAGGGGGAAGCACAAAAAGAGGTGCATCAAAGTTGCCAAACCATCATTTGAATGACATTTGAAACAATGTTGTGTGATCGGATTAAATGGAAATTGTGCTTTTGGGGCATGTTTATCAGTGTTATGTTTAGTGTAAAAAAAGATGAAGCTCATGTTAAGAAAATGTTAAATATCACAGGGGATCTGTTACAGTTTGTTTTGCGGTTGTTTCACATCTATGTGTCCTGGAGCCCATGTGAAGGTAGAGAATTTAAGAACATGTACTGTGATATTTTGACCAGAACCCTAGTTCTTTCTGCCAAGCGGCTCAGGCTTGGCTGAAAATGGACATTCAAATATGACAATGATCCAAAGCATACATCCATATCGATGCAGGAATGACACAAAGTAAAGGTCCCCAACTGGCCATCTCAATCTCCAGACCAATTGTACATTTTCAAGATGGCAGTTGAAAAAAGGAGAACTGAGGGACTGAAGGGCTTAGAGCAATATTACGTATACAGTAGGAATGTTCATAATTGTTGCCTCTTAATATTCAGAACCAGTCAGTGTACATCCCTGCCAGAGGATGATTTACTGAATACTAATTAAAAGGGAGTAAGTAAAGCAAAATAGCAAAAGGAAACTTTATGAGAGAGCAAAACAGAGAAGCACAGATAACAGATACAAACGTTGTTCTAATCACAGACACCATATGGGAACACAAATACATTATTGCAGTGAAACATACAGTAATGCCAAAGTCCTTCATTTCTATTTGTGAGATGTAGCAATAATCGGATCACTGTTTAACAGAGAACCATTAGAAATGCCAGTTGAGCTTTTTTCTTCTTAAGGAAAGAAGAACCGTGATGATTTCCAGCCATCCTTTCTCATCCTTTAGTTACCTTAGTTCACCAGTGTTTTGACATTGCAGAGAAACTGATCATAAAACTTGGCTGTGGCCCCAGCCTGCCTTTCCTTATCCAGCTGAGATTTATATTTCTCTCACAGTATAGATCAGTATCAGAATATCCTTTTGCAGTTCTGGCTCTAATCTGTAGGCTGATTTTATTCTGTGTTCAAGGATTGATTGATTGTGTTTGCCTGTAGGTCGGCTTCATGAACAATGGGCAGATAATTGCAGCAGACGTTCATTATTACACCAATGCTGGTAATACAGGGGATGAGTCCATTTTGGTATGTTAGTATTTTTGTACTATTCCTTTTTTTAAGGTTCCATAGAGCTGTGTTTTTGATTCATACAATCATCTGGTTGTTTGTAAATACTTGCCAGAGTTGGCACTTCTGGCTTAAATGCTTAGACAGAGATCGGCAAAGTTTTTAGATTTATTTGATTTTTCTGGTGCAATAAACTGCTCAATACTCTGATTAATTCTGCCAATTCATTTCTTTTTTTCTGGATTCTCTTATACAGTATTGTCTAAAATGTACTATTGTAAATAGCTCGTTTAACAGTGATATATGCTGTATGTATCTAATTGTGTAGTGATGTAAAAACGTTCTACAAGGGTGTGAAATTAGAAAAACAACGGATAAAGTCTTCAAATAAGCTGCACATTTCAATAAATTCAAAATCTAACTTTCAGTTGTCATTCAGAGCTTTTTCTAAAACTTTTTGTTATTAATAAAAAGTGCTATTGTTCTTATGCAGTAAAACCTTGTTTCAATATTTAAAGTGAACGTTTCAGTCAGGTCCTCCACAGCCAGTACAGTTTTCCTCATGGCACTGTTGAAGTTGTGTATTAAAACGAGGCCTCTAATTTTTGTGATTCAAGGTTATTGAAAAAATACTTCTACACATGGACAATTCCTACAACATCCCTAACCTGAGAGGGATGTCCACAGCCTGCCGCACCAACCTTCCTTCCAATACTGCCTTCAGGGGCTTTGGGGTGCCACAAAGCATGCTGGTCACCGAGAGCTGGATCAATGATGTGGCTGTCAGAGTAGGCTGCTCAGCTGAGAAGGTAGGTAAATGTCTCAGGCTCACTTTCAGATAGGTGTTCTACTTGTGACTGAGAACTGGTACTGTATACAGTATATCGGTAGGTGTTTGAAAAAAACTGTGCTGTGCAAGTCGTGGGGCAACTTGATGCTAGGCAGGCTTCCGGGCGTCCGTCTTCCAATGCAGAGCCCTGAGCTTCAGAGCCACGAGGTTTAAATAATAAATGGGGAACAAGGGGCAGGTGAACGTAATAAGGAAAATAAAATACAAAAGGGTCGGAGCGCCCTCTAGAGGAGGGATGATGATCGTGACAGCACCATGAAATATTAATGAGGAAGATAATATTCATTGTTTATAATGCCTCTGACACATCTTCAGGCTTTCACAATAAAAAAAATGCAAGAATACGCACCTTAATACATTAAGCAGAACTAATAGCTTGTGTATAACAGTAGGATTTCAGACAATATTTAAAATTGCTGACTGACTTGCATGATTATTACAGCCTGGGATCATTCCAGAGCCTCAGACAACAGAACAGAATGAAATGTCCAAAGAGCGCAAAAGACACATATTGTACATACGTTCAGACACATCCAGTAGAATCTCTTATTACAAAAATAAAGCCTGGAAAAGACAAACACATTCATCAGCTTTTCTTTAACAGATTAGGGGAGAACAGGCATATCCACATTCAATAAGGTACACATCTAAAGATACCAACACCAACACAGTGAAGAATTAATTCCAGATTGTGGAAGGGAGCAAAAACACTGGAGTGTATCATTACTTTGACACTTAACCTCATATCACCAAATGTGTTTGCTTCACCAGAAGACCTGGAAACAGACATTAAGACCTAGGATACCCAAGCAGCAGCTTCACACAAATAATGAAATTCAGCCATAAATTACGACATTATCATTTAATAATAATAATTATTATATATAGCGCTTTTCTGGACAGTCCACTCAAAGGGCTTTACAGGTAATGGGGACTCCCCTCCACCACCACCACAGTGCAGCCTCCACCTGGATGATGCGATGGCAGCCATAGTGCACCAGTACACTCACCACACACCAGCTATCAGTTTGGAGGAGAACAGAGTGATGAAGCCAATTCATAGATGGAGATTATTGGGAGGCCATGATTGGCAAAGACCAATGGGAAATTTGGCCTGGGTAACACCCCTACTCTCTTCCAGAAATGCCCTGGGATTTTTAATGACCTCAGAGAGTCAGAACCTGACTCATCAGGTTGCCGTCTCATCCAAAGGACGGCACCTTTTTACATTCTAGCATCTCCGTCACTATACTAGGGCGTTAGGACTGAAGTATAGACTGCAGCGTGAGCGCCCCCTGCTTGCCCCATTAACACCTCTTCCAGCAGCAACCTTAAGTTTTCCCCAGGAGGTCTCTCAGCCAGGTACTGACCAGGCTCACAACTGCTTAGCTTCAGTGAGTTGCCAGATATGGGATGTGAGTTGCAGGGTGACATAGCTGCTGGCCCATTTAGTGTCATTCACATGAAAAGAGAGCAGTGTGATTGTTGGAAACTCTTTTTAGGAACTCTGCAAGTAAGCTATGCATCTGAGACCTTGAGTCATCAACTTTATGTCGAGCTGAGATGGCTAACATTGCCCAAAGTGTAGAGCTTCATAGAGCTCGGAATATGAGTTAGACTTGAGAAAACACTCAAATATCAATAATATTGCTGTTTTATATAATGAAGCAGTTGAGCTTGAGATACCCTCAGAGGCATCAGCAGCTGAAAATGGAAATGTTAGACGTGGGCGATGACAGCTATGCTACTGTTTTTCAAGGCAAGACAGAACCGTTAGATTATAGTTCTCATGATGTAGTATCATTGGAAGTATATTTCAAAACTGTGCAGGTAGAGATCCAAACAAATCTGTGTTAAAAACTAATGAATCTGTGTTAGGACTGTTGTTTGACATTTAATCATTTGGCCAGAACTTAATTGACAAACGTAAACCAAGGTAAACTTTACAATTGCTTTGATCACTCAATCTGGACTGAATCTCGGCAAACATCAGTCACACACTTTATCTAGATTCTTAGAGACACATCTGTAGGCACCTATAGCTATAATAATTTGTAAAAGATATTTTAGTAAACTAACGTTGCCCAGCCTTGATTGTGTATCCTGACACAATCTTGTGAGCAGCTAAGTTACGAAGTTACCGAAAATGTTTTTGCCTCCCTAGATTCGTGAGATAAATATGTACAGGGGCACATCCTGCACTCACTACAAGCTAGCGTTTGATCCTCACAATCTGTGGAGGTGCTGGGATGAATGCCTGGAAAAATCTGCTTTCAGCAACAGGCGAATTGCCATCAACAAGTTCAACAAACAAAACCGCTGGAAAAAAAGAGGAATCGCCGTTGTTCCCATTAAGTATGGTATCGCATTTGCTGAAAGCTTCCTGAACCAGGTAGAGATTTTAGAATTTTCTGTCTTTTCTGTGGTTTTTCACGTTTTCTTGCGCCTGTCCTCAGTTTGATGTATTGGAGCACATCATTGTCAAGTAAAGTACTGTACAGTATATACTGTACATGCAAAAGGAAAAACATGCGGCAGTTCATATTCTGTTAGAATATGCCTTTCATTTTCTCCACACATATCTATGGACCTTAAGACATTACCCCCATTAAAATTAGTGAAGGCAATCATTTTGCTTGTATCTGTAAGACCTTATGATCTAAAGCAATCTTGCAGAATTTTCAGAAATTACTCAAAAGCATCATTGAACCTGCTTAAATGTTTTAGAAAAGTGATATAGTAAAAATGCACCTTAGACCATGTAAAATAGTAGGACTTTGAGAACCAATGTAAAACCAGTATATAATGGCAATATCCTTAAATTCATGTGGAGGGCTGCCTATAGAGACAGTATTAAAGTATTTTGCGTCCTGAGCAAATCTAGGCAGAAAATGTTGGTTATTGCTGAAAAAAACATGGCAGTATAATTTATTGGTTTATTAGTGACACAGGTGGAATGTCCAGTAGAGTTCTTCATTTGATTTGGGAGACATTTATTTTCGTCATGCTACATCATTTTACTGTAGTATCTGCTGTATTTGTTAACTTGCAACTCGGATATTGGATGTCCTGATGTATGTATACTCACTGGTTGTTTCTCACACTAAGGCGGCTGCCCTGGTCCATATTTATAAAGATGGGTCTGTGCTGTTGAGTCATGGAGGAACTGAGATGGGTCAGGGCATTCACACCAAGATGCAACAGGTAACTTGTGTGTCATATAATGGGGTGAAACTGTGCCACCCACAAATTAAAGCAAATATGTGGTTCTTGGTGAGCAAAACAAAAATTCAACCGTTCTTGCCTTTACATTTCTAGGGGCTGTCTTGATGTATGAGGTAAAGATTGTAAGAGTAAAGTTTTTAATTCTTCACTTCATGGGGTGTTCTCCTGATTTGATTTGCTTCTGAATTGCTGTATTGTGTGATGGCAGTATCATTTTTAAAATGTAGCATACTGTTATCTGAATCACAGACTTCGGAAATGCAATATTTGTTTTTTGTCTTCTGAAACATTCAAAGATTACTGTAATTCTTGACTACAGGTAACACAATTCCCCATACTGTTTTCTAAAGATTATGGTTTGTGCATTCTGAAGCTCTCTAATAAGTAGACTTTCTTTGAAAAATAAAGATGTACCATCCATGCATCCCTTTTTCTAACTGCTTTATAAAGTACAATACCAAGCAAGCAATGGGCTCAAGGCAGGATAACTCTGGATGGGAAGCCAGTGCATTACAGGGCATTTACACACACACACACCCACACACCCACCAGAACTGATTGTCCCAGTTAACCTACCAGTATGTCTTTGGACTGTAGTAGGAAACCAGTGTATAAGCTACGTGTCCGTGGTGTGCTGGTGTTCGGGGGAGGTGTGGCCTATTCCAGGCTTCCATCTTCCAAAGCTGAGCCCTGATAGGCATGGACGTCTGGCTCATATAGCACGAGGGGCTGGAACCGGAGGCAGGTGCGGGAGATGAGTATAAAACAAGGAAGGGCAGGAGCGTACTTAAGAGGAGGGGTTTATGATCGTGACACACATGACAGGGAACACCTGGATCACAGGGCAGACAGGCAGACACACAGAGACAAACACAAATACGCACACAATCACAAAATTTTCCCAGGAGCCGATTAACCTACCAGTATGTTTTTGGACTGTGAGAGGAAACCGTGGCACCTGGAGGAAAGCCACACAAACCCAGGGAGAACATACTAACTCCACACAGATGGTAGCCCAGATCTGAACTTGAACCCAGAACCCCAGCACTGTATATGCTGTCTATATTGAAAAACAGAAAACTAGAAAAGAGGAGCCAGAGAAGAGAAATGTCTTTCTTCCTTCCCCATTTTTTATCTGGATTACCCTATAATGTGTAAATGTTGTTTTGATAACATACAAATATTTTATTTTACAGTATTTTCGCAGAGAACTTAGTTCTTCCCTAGTAAATGGTGGGAAGAATATTGTGAAACAGACACAGACCTTTTCATTTAGTGGGTTACATAAATGGCTTGTTACCTTGAGGATAAGCTCTAGCTTTGCCCCTGGTACACTGTTATTTAACCTCATCAACCTATTTAACCTCTCTGAGAGGTTTTAGACCAGAGAACCTGCTTATTGTGAATGTTCATTTTCTAGTTTCTTGAAATCTTTAATAATTTGGTAAAACATAAGACTGTCTTGTTCCAAAGGTGGCAAGCCGAGAGCTGAGAATCCCAGCTTCATTCATTCACATCAGTGAGACCAGCACCAACACCGTGCCCAACACCTGCCCTTCTGCTGCATCGTTTGGCACAGATGCCAATGGAATGGCTGTGAAGGTGAGATCTGGGATGTCTCTGGGAATGTCAGGTCTGATAAGGTTATTTCATTGAACCTTACAAAGAGCAAGGGGGGAGTTACAACAAAAGACTGCATTGGTTATGTAGTAGAGAGAACTGCAGGATTAAAATGCTCATATGCTCTGATATACAAACGCAACACAGCAGCAATCGCATAATGGTGCAGACACAGGAACCTGCATTTGTGATTGACTGGTCTGTTGCATCACATAGGTGGTTGTGCAGAAGCTCTATTAACACTCCACAGAATAGTTTCAGCATGAATGGAATATAAATCTCTGTGCATTCTTTGATTGCCTTTTTTTCAAGTTGATATTATATTCAGGTCTGACTATATTCCTTTTGATCTTGGCATGTATTTTTGTGTGCACAGATGCATTGCAGAACCTTTTGTAGAGCAAATGTCATTTGTTTAATGATGGCCTGACAAATATGTATAGAAATAGAATGCATTCAATTCATCCAGCAATAGCATATTTGGATATTTGTACAGTTCGAATGACATCAGTTTTGCTAACCAGAGGGTCATGGGGTATCTTTCCAGCTGTTGCAAGTGGTGGTGTATGGTGGTACATATTTCTTTTGGAAAAATATTATTTTGTACATTGTTAGCTTATTTATTATTTTAAGCGTATTTGTTTGGTATGTAAAACTAAATGTAAAAACCCTAATCACAGATTTTGTTGTAGCTGTAAATTTGGCCAGCAGCTATATCACTGTGCAACTCACACTTGGCAACCCACTAAAGCTCAGCAGGTGTGAGCCTGATCAGTTCTTGGGTGGGAGAGCTATTGGGAAAAACTAAGGTTGCTGCTGGAAGAGGTGTTAGTGGGCCCGGTAGGGGGCGCTCACCCTGTGGTCTGTGTGGGTCCTAATGCCCCAGTATAGTGATGGGGTTACTATACTGTAAAAAAGCTCCGTCCGTTGGATGAGACGTAAAACCGAGGTCTTGACTTTCTGTGGTCATTAAAAATCCCAGGGTGTTTCTCAAAAAGAGTAGGGGTGTAACACAGGCATCCTGGTCCAATTTCCCATTGGCCTTTACCTATCATGGCCTCCAAATAATGCCCATCTCTGAATTGGCTTCATCATTCTGTTCTCCTCCCCACTGATAGCTGATGTGTGGTGAGTGTACAGGTGAACTATGGCTGAACCAGGTAGGGACTACACATTGGTGGTGGTGGAGGGGAGTCCCATCACACATCAGCTATCAGTAAGGGAGGAGAAGAGGGTACTGACACCAATTGAGGATTATTAGGAGGTCACGATTGGTAAAGGCCAGGGGGAGAATGTGGCCAGGACATCGGGGTTACACCCCTACTCTTTCAAGAAATGCTGTGGGTTTTTTAATGACCACAGAGAATCAGGACTTCATTATTACAGTGCATCTCATCCAAAGGATAACACATTTTTGTAGTATACTGTCCCCATTACTATACTGGGATATTAGGACCCACAAAGACCACAGGATGAACACTCCCTACTGGACCCACTAACACCTCTTCCAGCAGCAACAGTTGTTATATACCTGGATGTTTTATTCTCTTTACATCATAAGGTTTCAGATTTTTGTGACCAGAGGTGTTTTGTCAACCTGTTTTAAAATAGAATTATATAAACTAATGGAATATATTTGCTGTATGTTTTTCTAGGATGCTTGCCAAACCCTGTTACAAAGGCTGGAGCCCATCATACACGACAACCCCAAAGGCACTTGGCAAGACTGGGTAGATTAAATATCACAGTTCAATACTCATGCATGCATGTGGTAATACTAATACTAAACCACATTTGTTCATTATTGATATTATAAAGATAAAGTTATCTTGATTCATCCAAAGACCATAGATTTAGATGAAAAATCATTTAGACCGCATGTAAAAATGTAAGTCACTTTGTTTATACAGTATGTGTTTGCATATTCCAGTTCTCTGACATTTTATTTTATACCAATCTTCAGTGGCATAAAGCAGTTTAGTTCAGTAAAAAATGTTTTCAAGCCTCTATTATGCATTAGTTAGCAGTCTATACAGTCTTTATAATCTATGATCTTCCCTTTTTTCCCTTTTTTAGATTAAAACTGCATACTTTCAGAAAATCAGCCTTTCCTCTACAGGGTTTTACAGGTATCATTTATCATTTGTGTAAAACTGTGAAAGCTTCAATTCTGTAATTTTTTTCAAGACTTTTAATATTGTCTAGTTGTATTCAGCAAAAGAGACTTCAGTCTCCTGACGCAAATGAGCATACTTAATAACTTTGGTCAATTGAAAATGCAGGGTGGGTACCTTCAGTTTCAGTTTATGTGGCAGTTGTTGAAAAACAGTGCATAAAAAATATTAATTTCCCATAAGAATGAATGTAAAATTGGTGGAGAACATTCCGGATCTAATCTCAACCTTCGGGTTTAACTCCTAAATAAAAACAGTTACGATTATTCATGTAAAATGTTTATATAGTTGTATTAGAATTATTTTTCAAGCTAAACATTTGTTAATATGTATTAGTTTCATGTGAAATGTGAAGGGAAGACTGTTGTGGGGCATGATGAATGGTAAGACACTACAGTACATGATCAATGTCTCTTTAGGTGAATCTAGTCTGTAGAACTATCCTTGATGACTTTCAGCAAGCCATTTATTTTAAGGTCTTGTTTTAACACAGACTTTAAAATAAAAGTCTTATTTTCAAGGGTGTATTACAACTCTAACCAGGAATAAGAAGAGGCTTTAAATTCCATTTCACAGGGAGCCAAGAGCTCAATCATTTCACAGTACAGTGACTCTGTTATGACATTTTAAAAAATAATTTCAAGATGGTAGGGACACTTGGCAAATCAAGACAATTTGAAAATCTCAAGTTTGTATGATTTGGACACATATCACCTAAAAACACAAAAGAATCAACCAGATTGAAGTTTTATCAGTATCTACAGGCTTTACATAGGTGAAACCTTCCTTCAGTTGGTGTATAATATTAAATGTGTATTGTGCTTAGGGGCCATGACCTGTACATGGACTGGGAGAAGCAGGAAGGAAGACCATATGCCTATTTCACATATGGAGTCAGCTGCTCAGAGGTTGAGATTGACTGTCTGACTGGAGACCACAAGGTAATTCTCAAACCAGTCTTTTCCTAGCTGGTGGCCTGCAAATGTTTATAATAGATCAAATTTGCAGCTAAATTAAAAAGCTTAAAATGCTCCTGTCTACAATGACCTGCATTGTTTGATTCAAGACCCATGAAGAACCTTTACATGACTATTTCTATTTTTGAACAGAATATCAGGGCAGATATTGTGATGGACACTGGAAGAAGCATAAATCCCTCTGTTGATATTGGCCAGGTGAGGAGTATTGTATGGAGAATGGGAGAAGACAGAATGCATGTTTACATCTTCTATTGTTTTACATGTATTATTGTAGATTAAAAATAAATTATGCCTGCACAAAGTGAAGAATGGTGGACTTAATGTCATGGCTTGGAATAGTCTCACTCATATTTGATGATGATGTATCTAATGTATCTATTAAGTGGCTCTTTACCAGGCAGTGTGGCAAAGACATAAATGAGCCTGGTTAGTACCTGGATGGGAGACCTCCTGGGAAAAACTAAGGTTGCTGCTGGAAGAGGTGTTAGTGGGGCCAGCAGGGGGCGCTCACTCTGCAGTCTATGTGAGTCCTAATGCCCCTGTATAACAATGGGGACACTATACTGTAAACAGGCGCTGTCCTTCGGATGAGACGGAAAACCGAGGTCCTGACTCTCTGTGGCCATTAAAAATTCCAGGGCATTTCTCGAAAAGAGTAGAGGTGTAACCCCGGCGTCCTGGCCAAATTTCCCATTGGCCCTTACCAATCATGGCCTCCTTATAATTCCCATCTATGAATTGGCTTCATTACTCTGCTCTCCTCCACACTGATAGCTGGTGTGTGGTGAGCGTTCTGGCACACTATGGCTGCCATCGCATCATCCAGGTGGGGCTGCACATTGGTGGTGGAGGAGGGGAGTCCCAATTACCTGTAAAGCGCTTTGAGTGGAGTGTCCAGAAAAGCGCTATATAAGCTCTATATATTATTACTATTATTATTATTATTATTATTATTATTATTATTATTATTATTATTATAAAACATATGGCCAATGCAACCAAGGTGTACATCAGGAGGCAAAAGTGGAAAATCGTAAGACTTGACAAGTCAATCTCCAGATATAAGTAAAGCTGAGCATGTATTTTATACACTACAGAAAAAAAAATTGATGTCACAACACCCCAAGAATAGGCATCTCAAAGCTGCTGCATCAAAGGTTTGGCAACAAATCGCAAAACAAATAGTATGTCATCAAAGACTGCAGTGGGTCACAGGCTTCATGCAGTTATTGCCTCAGAGGAACATGCAATTAAATGCATATTGTGAAGGTATTTCATCCTGTTGGGGTTTTCATTTTTTCTTGGATTCATTATTGAAATGGCATTCATCCAAACAAACTGGCACACTTGGGATAAGGGATGGATTTCCTGGTTCTCCCTTTGCCAAAACCCATATAACCCACTGTGCAGTTTTCTCTTTTAACCCACTGTGTAGTTGCAGCACCCTGCAATTAGGAGTATAAGACTAAAATGCCCATCATCCAGTTCATTATACTTTGCCCCCTTTCTTAAATATTAAGGCCTAAACACTGCAAAAATATTTTAGCTTAAAACACTGGAAAAATCCATTACTCCTTGGTCTGATGTAGCACATATTCACTCACTTAATTTTCTAGAATAATTTAAAGGTTTAATATTCCTTGGAAATAACTAAACCACAATATATCTAGCACACCACACCATATCCAGTATATGGATAAATTCAATTGGTGTGTCATTGGCTGCAAGTGATTGCATTCTGTCTTTCAGATTGAGGGGGCTTTCATTCAAGGTCTTGGGCTTTACACCATGGAGGAGCTGAAGTTCTCTCCCTCAGGGGTTCTGTACACACGTGGTCCTGCACAATATAAAATACCAGCTGTCTGTGATGTTCCCCTAACATTCAACGTGTATCTGCTGGCCGGTTCGCAAAACCCACATGCTATTTATTCATCCAAAGTAAGTATACGCCTGTCAGAAGGCCGATCAATAAACTGTTGGTTTGTTTCAGGTTTTTTTTACAAAATTCTCAGTAATTCTTTTCACTAAACCCCCAAAAAAACCTGACTCCCATCAGAGACCTGTCTATACTTAGAAACCTTATCCATAACTATACGAGGTTGAACTAATTCCAAACTCTTAAAGAACAATAACAATTTAACTATAATTGTCTTACTCCCTTCTCTGTCTCCTCTACACAAAGATCCGTCCAGCACTGCTCCTGTTCCAACCGTCTTCCTCTCATCAGCATTGGTCAACAGGTGTACTCGACTAAGGCCTGTCAATCTCAGCTTTGCTGAGTGACTATACCTGATTCTTTTCAAGCACTGGAATGGCTCACCCCAATTGAACCCTCCAGCTGGAAATGTAGATTCCCTCACAAGGCCTCATACACGTCTACAGTGTGTCCAGCATTGACCTGGTGTACTGTAGGTACAAGAGAGGATTAAAAAGGCAATGGTGATTCATGAAACCTCAACGGCCATTTCCTCCATTTAGAAGGACAAACAAAATGGATGTTTGCTTTTTATGTTTGCCACACACAAAAGTTAAATGATCTGTACTGAGCATCAGAAGAAACATTCTATGCATGCAGTATATCTAGAGAAAAATATAGTGCTGGACTTTGGATATTGATTGCATGAACACTAAATCACCTGTTACATTAGCAAGCACAGGTGCTAAGATTGATTGTGATGGTCTGGCCAGGAGTGTCTAGTCACCACAGAACTCTACTTACAGTAATTCATGGCAACGTTTGTGGAGTTGCATTGATCAAATCCTGGGATCTCACATTGTGGGTTCATCCTAACAATATTCGAGCAGAACAACACATCCGCATGTGCTCTTGTTTCAACCCCTTTCTTGTGAGACGAGAATTTCAAAGTTACGTCATGTAAAGCCGAGCTCCATTGACGTTTTGTGTGAAGAGTTGGATGACATGCTTTCCCCAAGTTTGAGAGGAATGGGAAAAAATCCCATAAAACTATATCTGCAACCTGGTACAAAATATGTGTTGCAGCTGTATAGTTTGTATTGTGTAATGTTGCTAATATCTGACTTTCACTTTAGTTCTCCTGTTGACAACAATTATTAATCAGCATAAAATGTATTTATGCCAGTAGCCATATCACCCTGCAACTCACAACTGGCAACCCACTGAAGCTAAGCAGGTGTGAGCCTGGTCAGTACCTGGATGGGAGACCTCCTGGGAAAAACTAAGGTTGCTGCTGGAAGAGGTGTTAGTTGGGCCAGCAGGGGGTGCTCACCCTGCGGTCCATGTGGGTTCTAATTCCCCAGTATAGTGACGGGGACACTATACTGTAAACAGGTGACGTCCTTCGGATGAGATGTAAAACTGAGGTCCTGACTTTCTGTGGTCGTTAAAAATCCCAGGGTGTTTCTCGAAAAGAGTAGGGGTGTAACACTGGTGTCCTGGCCAAATTTCCCATTGGCCCTTATCAATCATGGCCTCCTAATAATCTCCCTCTATGAATTGTATATATTACTCTGCTCTCCTCCCCGCTGATGTGTGGTAAGTGTTTTGGCGCACTATGGCTGCCGTTGTATCATCCAGGTGGATGCTGCACATTGGTGGTGGTGGAGGGGAGTCCCCATTACCTATAAAATGCTTTGAGTGGAGTGTCCAGAAAAGCGCTATATAAGTGTAAGCAATTATTATTATTATTATTATTATTATTATAAATTTACCTATGACATGTGACATTTACCTATGACATGTCTATTCAATTAAAATGTCAGCACCGGCTACTAAAATGTCCTATTGCCAGTTCTTCTTAAGTTACGTTGTTGCAGTTACAAGTGAATATACAGTGGATATCAAAAGTCTACACACCCTTATTGAAATTTCACCTTTTGTTGATGTGAAGGCTGAAATCAAGACAAATCATGTCAGTCCTTTTTTCCGCCTTTAATAAGATCCTGTAATCAACAATATTTAAGTGAAAAACAAATGGATCATGTTTAGGAAGCATAATTAAAAATAAAAAACTTTCAGGTGAACAAAGGTCTGACATGATTTGTCTTGATTTCAGCCTTTACATGGTGAAATTTCAATAAGGGTGTGTAGACTTTTGATATCCACTGTATATCCCTTTTGGTCGTACTGTACTTCCCTGGAGAGATTATGAATACTTTATTTCGGTCATTGTTTTCATTGTATCTCATTGTGTGTGAAACTACTGGTTGATTGGCTAATAATGGGCCTTCTTTGGCTAAAAATCTCTCTTTGGTTTTTAAAAGTTTGAGTCATATTGTCTACTGAAGCATGTTATTAAGTAGATGTTAACCTATGGTCTGTTTCCTGCAGGGCATTGGTGAGCCAGTCTTGTTTCTAGGAAGTTCAGTGTTCTTTGCCATTAAGGATGCTGTGTCAGCTGCCAGAAAGGAGAGGGACCTCAAAGGACCCTTCAGACTTGATAGCCCCGCCACTGCGGAGAAGATCTGCCATGCCTGCTCCAACTGCTTCATTCAGATGGTGAGGGTTCATTCCCGAGCTGCTTCAGACTATACGTCAATCCCTGGTGGCAAATAGTAAAATATTATAAATTCTACTGTCTGTTGTGGGGTTTAGGTAGCCATTCCATCCAACCATTTTCTAACAGTTTCTTCCAATTCAGGATCGTAGGAAGCCGGAGTCTATTCTGGCAAGTATCAGTCATATAACCATTCCTACATGTTAAATTTATACTTTACCATATACTACACCTATACTTTTTCTTAGGATTTTGTAATGTTTCAGCATACCTGCATTGGTGATCACTCACATGTAGTAATCTACAGTGAATTTATCACTCAGGTCGATTCATATCAGTACTTAGGTGTACACATAGACAGTAATCTGTGCTGGACTACTCATGTTGAGAGTGTTTGCTCCAAAGTTCAGCAGTGCTTATATTTCCTGCAAAGACTGAAGAGTGTTTGGGGTTTTACATGAAGTTAGCAACTCTTTTACCGTGCTGTAATCGAGAGCATTATCAGATATGGTATTACGGTGTGGTTTGGTAAGCTACCAGTTCATTTAAAAATTGCAAATTACCCGCCTCACCCAGACAGCTTTGAAGGTCATGGGAGTGAAACAGCACCCTTCCCTGCAGACAGTCTTTGAAAAATCCATAATCAAACAGGCAGGAAAAATTATACCAGATCATTCCCACATCCACTCTGAATATCAACTTCTTCCTGCTGGCAAACCTGTTAGGTTCCCAAATTTACAGTAAGTCAAACAGATACAAACATTCCTTTGTTCCACTATCCATTAAAGCTGTGAACGCAAAGGTCAAGAATAAACACAATTTTGACTCTTACAACCCACTTGAGTGCAATATGTTTTTGTGAGGTGTTATAAATGTTACTTGTTGTTATTTGTTATACTGTACATGTGCAATAGAGTGATGTCCAATGTTTTTCTTATTTTTTGGAATAGAATGATGTGCAATGTTTTTTTCTTTTTTTTTTGTTTGCATTCCATTTAAATGTACAGGAGTGCTGGGTGTCCATAAAATATTTCCCTCGGGGGACAGAAAAATTGTATCTTATTATAGTCGATTTTAGCTTGAATGTGTGCAGCTGTCGCTCCCTAAGGTTTCCTTCTATGTAATATAATCAGCCCTGCTGGAAAAACAGCTTTCTTCAACTGATAAAGCAACAGAAGCACCGGTTGTTACTTTAATGGCACCTGGCACACTGCAGCTTTGAAAGCAAACTACTGCATAAATACAAGCAAGGATCGAGAGGTGACAGGCACATTGCTTAAAACAGTAAAGCAGCACAGGTTGATGTATGCCATGTTTTCAGAACCATGCTAGCTCTGGTGTTCGTACAGATTCTGAATCATTATAAAAATAATGTGGTTAAAGGTGGTGCATGTAATACAGTAAAAAACATTTAAATGCTCTGCGATTTTGTTTTGCAGATTCCAGCCACCAAGCCTGGCTCCCAGCCATGGGCTATCAACGTGTGAAATCAGAAATCAATCGTGATTTTTATTTGTTTATTTGAACCACCACTGATTTTTTTAGATATACCTTAAAATTCTTTTATTTAGGACACTGTAATTTCACACACACTGTCATTAGTATTAATTATTCATTTTACGTGCTAAATTGTTCAATTTATTATGAAAAAACAAGCTGATGGTTGCTTTGTTCAATAGTGCATTTAGGTCTTGTCTACTGGTGCTTATTTTACCTTCAAATCTGAAATGTCACTGCTGTACTTTTTCTTGCTTCTTCAATTCATTGAGTCTTTTCCACTGCAATGGGTCATATTGATGTCATGGTACAAATGCAGTACATTTACAGAAAAAACATTTTACCAGAACTAAAGTTCTGTCATCACTCAATGAGGTTGAGACAGCACTTATGGCTGCTATCTATACCTTCCAGGGGGATGTTCTTAGGTCATATGTGCTGCTTATTTTGTGAAATCTGATGAGGTGATAGTCTGTGTTTGGTTTCATGACCAAAATGCAGCAGTATAATCAAGCACGCCAATGCTTCGCATGTCGACATACATCTAACATGTCTCACGTCATCAGTTGACAATAATTTTGTACAAATTTATATTGAGCCTTCATTTTGTTTAGGCTGTATAGAATCTCACCATATTTGTCAGCTAGTTAGCTTAACATATGAAGGTGAATTCCACAATTTTTGTTATACCACTTTACAATGTGTACTGTACCTCTTGCATTACTTACAGTTCAGGAATTTACAGGTATTGGACAAAAAATGGTAACATCTGGGTAAATGAGTGACACCAAGTATACTGAAAGCATATACAAAAATGCCTAATTATGTTTAGTATGACAGCAAGAAGAGACTTCAATGACTTTGAAAGAAGGGTGATTGCTGGGGCATGTTTGGTTGGATCTTCAGTGACCAAGACAGATCACCTTGCTGATGTTTCACGAGCAGCAGTGCCTAAAGTGATTCAAGGGAGAGACTTATTCGGCCCTCTGAATCAGATCTGCTGATCAGATCTGGACCAAATGGAGCATTTAGGGCATATTCTGGAATGACACACGAGACACAATTTTCCACCTCCATCAACCAGATGTGAGCTGACTGACTCTCTTGTGGAAGAATGGCCACACATATCCATTCCTGTTGAGACCAGACTACAGTATGTCACTGAGCGTACAGGCTGTATTGGGATGACACCCCAAATATTATTGGGTTTATATGTGTGTTTCCATTTTTTGGCCAACAAATGTCACTTATCTGTAAGTCATTGTGGATAAATTAAGTGCGTCAAATAAAATTATAACATTAAAATCCATCCTCATGAGGCTACTTTATTTCTATAACATATGGCCTTATTCCTTTTCGATATAGTAATACAGCCGCCATAGCAGGCTGATAAAATATTACCTTAGCTGGTCACGATCCTTCAAAAAGAAGGTCTTTTGATTCTTGATGATCATAATGCATGAGTAGTAACTGGGGCTGGTTTCATAAAGAAAGGCGGGTGTTTTGTGAACCTGCCCAATATGGAACTGTAACTTAAGCTTCCATCACCACATTAGGACACAAGTTTGGGGTTTCTGATAGAGCGCGCCACCTACTGATTTAGCAACACCACTTGCAATAGCAACCCGATATTCCCTCAGGGTCAGCTCCCCAGGCCAGCCCCTCTATCTGGCTTGGCTTTTAAGATGCGGCAATTTGGCTTAAGAGCAGTACACTTCTTTAAGTCCAATGTGTAGGGCTTACAGTATAACGTACTACTTTGTGATCCTGGCTACCAGGATAATTTTCAAAATGCACTGACTAAATATTTCCTTGTATGGTGCAAATATGTTTTAAAGAAACCAGTGATTGACATGCAGTTAATGGGCTGAAGTAGTTCAAGTAGGGGGCTGTCAGCTTGCGTAGGCTGCAGAGGAACAAGTAAAGGTTTATTCCATGCTGAAAAGAGAAGGCAACATCACAGCTGAAACGTTGTTTCCTTTCTTCTTTTTTCAGCATGGAATAAACTTTTACTTGTTCTATGCAGTTAATGGTTCTTTTCAAACAGATATATAATCAAGGCAGTTATCAGTCTCCCTGTAATAGCATCATTACCACCTCCTGGTCTGATCTCATTGGATATCAGAGCCATACAAGGCTGTATTTGGCTGGTTACTGAGAACAGAGAGGGGCTCGAGCTCAGTTTCTGGGTGATCAGGTGTCTCCAGGGTCTTGTTCCCCCTGAACTCTGCGTTATACAAGTGGACTGATTATGTGATTAATGACACTGTGCATAAGGGTTAAAAGTACCATAAGGATTATTTAAAGGGATGATAACCCTAACATTCTGACTGAATTCTACTCCAAACTGCGCTCTGGGCTACCTAAAGTTCCCTTTAATATAACTGGTGAAACAATTTCTTAGTTCTCTACTTGATTGGCAATGTATTAGGGCTGCTGGTGCATAAGGACTATTTATGCATAGGTAGGTGCTGCATTTCATTTAAGTAAAGCATTTTATATTTTTTTTTATTAAAGTATACTTAAATAATTATTCCCAGTTCACCATTGTACTTTGAGAGTTTTATTATATATATAATACATTTATATATTTTTAAAAAACGACACATTTCGCGAAATATATTTTCTATATTCACTATATATTTATTCATATAACCAGTTACACTGGTTTCTCAGTCTGACTGAGTTTATATAGCTGTTTCCCAAGCTGTTCCAGTCTCTTCCTATATTCCAGATTTCCATAATTGCATTTAGGGACCCCCTGGAAACCATACATGGCACCCCAGCAGGCTGCAGCAATGACGGCAGTGGAATCGCTGTCTCCGCCATGAAAGAAAGCATGGTCAGCGAGTGACGTCCAGGAGTCGCCAGCTCGGAGAAGACCATCATATGCTATCATTGGTGCATCATGACCACTGCTGCCTGCCCAGCCACTGTAGCTCAGGGATTTATAGAAATCATCTCTCTCTTTGACACCATATACCTCTGGAAACCTGGCCTTACTTGTTCCATCCAATATTCCTCTTTTGTTCAGATAGGCTTTCCATTGGTTTTCAAAATAATCCCTGCAACACAATAACATAGGCATAAGATGACTTAAAATATTTCTTCTCTTTGACACTGTGGGTTACACCTGAAAATGTATAAGTGGCATAATTTGTTGTGTTATGCAACTTTCTTCTTTCCTTTAAGGATTTATAAAAATGTAACACCACTGTTTATTCAAATAATAATGTAACAATTCATTTTTTCTTAACTGAAATTCTCCACGAAGCACATAGTTACCGACTGTGATAAAATCATGTACTGTACTTAGAAGTTAAACCATGTACAACAGAAACGTGAAGTCTATTGCCTCCTGTTGAATCCACATGCTAAACTTTAACCTTCACGCTGAACTCCCTGATGGGGAATGTTTAAAAACTTAAACGTTTTAAGTGCTTTCTGAGTCCTGGAGTTTCTTCAGAAAGCTACTTCACAGACAGGAGGGTTAGGGTGTAGAGAAAAGTATATATAAGATGTGTAGAGCCATATCCTCTACGGGTAATACAACAATAAACCTCAAATACGATGCTCCTTGTATGTATATAATCAAGTTTGGCTTGACGAACGGACACTTCAGGCTCAAATGTCTTGGTTTCTACATTTGTTTGCCTCTACTGGAGTATCTTGGTTTGACAGCTGTTTCAAGGCTGAAAATTGTCATACAGTATGAAATAACTTTGTAATTACTGGTTAAGCCCCACAAACAATCAATTTGAACTGGTGTAAGGCACTCACCAGGCCCGTAGGTTATCTTCAGTGTAGTGGCCTGACTGACGGACGTAGCTCTTGGCATTCTCCAATGTGTCGAGGAGTCCCCGGCCCCACTGCTCGAGGGGCTTGCCTTGGACAGCGTAAGAGGTGAAGAGGGCTGTAGCCAGGGAACCTAGGTAGCCCGTGGGGTGGTGATGGCTCATCCGCCCACTCTCTACGCTTACTGCCACCAGCTGCTCCTCCTGGGAAGGGTGGGGGAACCGCAGCCCAATGCACATAGCCCTCATGGCCGCACCACAGCCACCTCCTTTGGGGTTAAATGGGATTTTCCATCCATCCTTGACATGTGGCTTCAAAAACTGAATGGTCTCAATACATGTTACACCTACAATAAGGACACAGTAGACAGTCACTCTTCAATAAAAGGTGATTTATGTCATAGTCCTATACTGGCACTAACGTTCTGCATCCAGCTTCTCTATACTATCAGCTCAAACTATATCTTTTTTTAAAAACAACCTATTCAAACCACGATATTTCATGCTTTCCCTTCAGTTGCAAGTTTACCAAAGATTCCATAAAAAACTGATGTTGTGAAAGCCCTTAATCAATGCAGTGTTCATTCTTTTTTCAGTCTGATCTTTTGGCGTGACACCCGGGACTGAATCAAAGAAATGTATCACTTTTCAAGTCATGATATGAAGAGGTATATTGGAGAGGTGTTTTAATGCTGCCCTGGGTGCATGGTGCACCACTACCTGGGTCATTCTTCTGAACAGGCACTTTTCCTGTAATTGTTAGTTAGCACAGTAAATATTAATCAACAGAGTATTACACAAAAGAAATCTGTTAAATATTAGTAGAAAATCTTAGTTGAATTACCAGGGGCTCTTCCATCCATGTCATCCAAGCAATCTATGTATTTCTGGGCAAGGACATGATATAGATCTGGCAGCTGTGGCTTGTTCCCCACCTGAACCAAGGCCTCTGCTGTGGCAAGGTGCATGACTGTATCATCACTCACTCTAAAATCTTTCACATCAATGTTTTTAAGGCCTCCCATTTTAGTCAGCTCCGTATGAATCGCTTCTCCGCTCCGGGAGAATTCCCAGTTCCCATTATTGTAGCCCAGAGCATCTCCAGCTCCACTGAGCACCATGGCAGCCACATATCTCTCCTCTAATGTCACTGAGGGATTAGACACCTGGCAAGCAGAAAACGAGAGGTATTTCAAATAATGTCTTAAAGACCGAGCAATAGGCTGTAAGCACTACACTGGACATTATAGCTATTTCTCCAAGACATTTAATCTTACCTACACTTATCAACCATCTCGTTTGACTTTTTAGATTTTATTTCATGCACACTTTGCATACCTCATTTTGGTCTCTTCAGCTTCATCGTGTTTAATATTGAGCATGACAGTACAATTTGAAAAAATGAAGTATATTTAATAGGTCAACAGAAATACAGTACATTGTTCTTTCTTTTTTGAGATTAGATTTGCACCATGAAGGACATCAGGAAGTGTGACATAGATATCTACAATGATACATCAACTGTTGTGTACAACAGACCAATCTGTTGTCCACACATGGGGAGTTCCACATGGGGAATGTAACAATTGTGGTTTCCTCACTCGACAGACTATAGTCCCGTTCCACATTTGTGGGATGAGCTGAGATGACGTGTGGCATCAAGGGCTCAGTATAGTTAAACATTCACTGAACTGAAGATTTTACAATGACAGTGAAATACCATATAATTTCAAATAAAAGAGGTCAAAGTAGTGAAGGAAGACAAATATCTAAGCAAATGATGGAGATGACACTGCCCATGAGATACCAAGAGGTAAGTGTCTGAAGGAGAACCTTCACTGATTTGATTATATAATTGATTAAAATTGAAAAAAACTACAGAAAAATAAAGAAAAAGTCCACATAAGATGGCAGGTCCGGATTTCATGTAAAAGGAAAGGAAAAGATCTGTGAAGATATGCAATATTTCATCTGTAAAAGATCTGCATTCATATATATGTGCATGCATGTTTAAAGTAGTGTATTAATAGTGACACCCAGCCATGTTTTTAAGTCACTGCTACCAGACAATTTATTGGGGCACTTATTGTGACTATTTGTTTTGACTATTTGCCTTAGTTAATAACAGGTATTCTTTTCTGCATACTTATCTGTGCATGCAAGAGGTTTACTATAGGGTAATTTCTGCCACTTACTATATGCACAGCAATTAACAGTTAAGCCAACATCTACGATCATTTTAAAAACTGGTTGATGCAGCATAGAAAAGTTAACCAGCTCAAAAATCTCTCTTAAGATTCAAAGGGAGGAAGGGATTACAGAACGTCTGAACAAGCCTTACAGTGGACAATATAAGCTTATTTCACGTTGCTGAAATCTGGATGATGCAGCTTGTAGTCACCATTTAGTGGTGAATTCATCAGAGCTCTAAAATTGTCTTAAAATTCAATAAACAAAAATCTCTTTTGGCCACAAATTAAAGGCAAACAGCTTTTTATTATGTGGAAATAATAAAAAGGGGGCGGAGCTGTGGCACTGTGGCTTAGGATCTGCGCTTTTGGCTGGAAGGTAGGTTACCAGTTAAAATCCTATGGCCGGCAAAGGAATCCTACTCCATTGGGCCCCTGAGCAAGGCCCTTAACCCCAGCTGCTACAGGGGCACTGTGACCTGCACTCTGACCCCAAGCTTCTCTCCCTGTCTGTGTCTCATGGAGAGCAAGCTGGGGTATGCAAAAAGACAAATTCCTAATGCAAGAAATTGTATATGGCTCATAAAATGATCTTATCTTTCTTAAATGATGCTGCCTGTCATCAATGACCCTTCCTGCAATCGAATCTGAATTTAAGATAAACTGTATCCTGGCAGCTGTATTGGCAACTCCCAGTAATTAGATAAGAGATGACAATTAGGAAATGATTCTCAAAGGATTTTTTCTCCCAACACATTTAATGATTAAGGATGTTACTACTCACAGTATATACTTCTAATTGCTTTTGCATTTCATTATTAGTTTTTGTGCACCATTAATGTTGCACCTCCAACTTTATTTTGCAAAATTAAGAATTTGCTTCCTATGTACTTACACTTAATGTAAATTTTGGATAAGTTGTATGTGGCCCGGATAAGGGTGTCTGCTCAGAAAATCCATTCAAAACACTACGAATATACCGTATGTACAACCAACTGTGACTTCTAGACTGTGCAATATATTCCATATATTTTAGCTGACTTCTATATGCGCTTGGAAACTCAAAACAGGTTTAGGACCTCTTCAGTGTCACTGGGAATGAGCTGCCTGACCCAGCTTCACCAAGAACGAATGAAGGAGAAAGTTTGTGTCTGGACTACCTGGAAGATACCTTTGATTCTTTCACATGACCTACCTTGTCAGGCTCCTTGAAGGGCATCTGGAGTCTGCAACTGTCCACTCCACTAACACTGGGATTAAAACTATCCGGTGTCTCCTTAGAACACATCCCATCCAGCTGTCGGTTTGACGACGTGTCTTGTAAATTCTTAAATAAAGAGACTGTGATGATCAAGGCAGTCAAAACCAAGATGCAGAAAACACACAGTACTATTTTCTGAAACATGCAGAACAGAGAGAGGTCTCTCAATATTCTCTTAATGTATCTCTTTTTTTTCTGATCCAATTAAATGGTGCTGGAAGAATGTAATTTTGTCAGGAAGAAAGTGAACTGCTGACTCAAACTCTTCTTTCACCTGGAAGGTATACAAAATTAGATTAAATTAGAACAGAATCTGTGCTTGCAGTTCTGGTTATATAAGTAGTATTGATCTCAAAGCACTTAATTCATTTTTGTCACCACAATATCTCCAGAAAATATGAGAAAGGACTACAGGCGTGTGTTTTAAAGGCATCAATTAAATAATAAATAATAATATCGGCATGCATAACTGGATTTTTAAAAAATCTGAATCATAAAAAATAAAAATTTCAAAATCTTAAAAATGCCACCTTAACTATGTTTTCTGAATCCCCTTATTAAAAAATTAGGGATGGACACACGATGACAAGCAGAACGACCAAGAACACTCGGCCATGACACAGCATTCGTTTTTTCAGTTCTATTTCTAAAATAACACCTCACTGCTCAGTTTCACTTTCATTAAATTTAAGAAAGAATACCAAATCGTATTGTCTTACATAAATCTTCCACAAAGGTGCGGTGACTCTGTGGCTTAGGATCTGCGCCTGTTTGGCTGGAAGGTTGCCGGTTCAAATCCAGCGGCCGGCAGAGAAATCCTACTGCCTAATAGCTGACCCTGCGCTCTGACCCCATCCAAAAAATTGCATATGGCCAATAAAGTGATCTTATATAATAACCGCCCGTATACAGGGCTGGAGACGCCCTCTTCCCTCGTGTGTCTGCGTAGATGTGATGGTGTATCTCCCCTGTCCCTATGTGTGTAACTTTAATAAATGTCCTGCCAAACCCGTGCCAGAAACTGTTTCTTTCCGTTGCAGTACCCTAACCTCAAAATAACTGGACTAATACAGCTAATAAAAAGCTTAAATATTCCCAAATTCACAAGATGATATTTCTGTTTGAGACCTTCAGAATAACGTAATGAAACGAACCGTTTCAGTTTTAATGAACACATTTGCTCTCCGTCTGAATATGGGACGGAGGACATGTTGTTCAAAAGTCAACCTTTTTCGTATTTATCGCTCGATACCCATATATTGAAATCTGTCAAAATTCTGAAATACCTCAAAACCATAGTCGTACTCACCACTAAAAAAAACAGATGAGTTTTCTTCCCTTTCTTGAAGAGCTAAAAAAAACAGCACCCGCAGCACAGTAACTAAACGCACAAAATCTAGCAAACTCCGAGTTTACGACACTTCCTGGAAAGTCTGCGCCTGATGTCACGGCCAGAGCAGAACCAAACAGATGCGACAGGTCTCGGTGGTCCTTGAACAAGTGGATGCAGTTGAAATGACTCTGTATTTCACGAACTTCAAAATATAAACTATATTTGTATACAAAAAATATAGTTAAAGTAGCCTATTTCATAAAGGTTTAAAAAGATTGTAAATAAAACAAAATCGTAAGCCGAAAAGTGGTCTTATAATGTAACATTAAACATTGATTTTAATGTACAATATCATGCCATTTCCAGTACGTGAGAAATAAACACTAAGAATGTTATATTCCCTCTATATATCACGGTGGTGTGGAGCACCAGAGTCTGCGCACACGACCACATTTTTACGTCTGTGTGAACTCAGCCGGGAAAAGATCGTCACCAGGTCACACATCCATAGTTTTAAAATCTGCACAGCTGCGTGGCTTCTCAAGATGTACTGTGCTGGAAATGACACGGAATTAAAACAGTGGCTGATAAAAACTAAGTGTTTTCTATAGTACTTAGATATACCGTGCTGCCGCCTCTTAAGTAAGGCAGGTGAAACGCCTGCGAGAAAATTAATATATGTGTGAATGCCATGCTGTGGCAATTTTTTTGTCAGAAATTGTATGGAATACAATAGTAAATTAGTAAATAGTAAGTAGTAATAACAAATGGCATTTAATGTAAACAGGTAAGGTACAGTATATAAAATGTATTTAAAACATGTACTGTACATAATTTAAGAGTGTCAGCAGTAATCATCAGTGTTTAATGCTTAAATGTTGTGATACACAATCAGCACAAAGATATCGATAAACTGAAAAAAATGCCTACTGATACATTCATTTTCTAATGGCTTCATCCAATTTAGGGTCATGGGGGAGATGGAGCCTATCTTGTGCAAGGTTGGATACACCATGAAGGACACACAGACACAAGGTCCATAACCTCCGTGCTTTTGGGAGGAAACCACAGAACCCAGCGGAAATCCACATGAAAACAAGGAGAACATACTGTACAAACTCGATACAGATAGCACCCGAGGAATTGAACCTTAGGCCCCAAGCACTGCTTATCACTGTGCCACCACACCACCCTAATGCCTACTAATAAAATAGAATAATTACATTGTTGTGAAGCTAGCTGTTATAAACAATATGTGAGGTGTTTCATCTAACATTTGTAATTTATTAAACAAGAGGATGCTGTGTTATTGTAAGTATGTTGCTTATTAATCTGTTTCAATTTCTTACAATATCTTCTTACCATGGCAACTGGTGAAAACATAAACTGAAAACCCTGTAGACAATAAGGCAAAGACCGAAAACACGGAAACACCAAGAACATAGCGCTAATTAATCACATGAGCTGGTGAAATATCCACTGAGGTGTGAAATGATCTATAAAATGTTTTTTGGTACTGTTCACCATTGCTATACAAGAAAAAGATCTGCAATGCAGCTGACACGTACAATGAACATAGACTTCATAATCACAGAGAAAATAAAGGACAGACTCCAACCGGGTGTGAAATATTAATGATATTGGAAAGCTGCAACATGCTGTGTTCTATGAACACATTTATGGGCATATATCATTATATTATAAATACTTATAATATAATTAATGCAACATTAATATGATCATGGATAGGCCATTCATCTGTTCTGATTTTCACATATAACAAAATCATTTGCAACTCAGTGCACAGTATCTTATTATCATCATAGAACTGTGAAAGAAACATCATGGTGATAGAGGTGCATCATAATACTGAAAGATCTGCTCCTTAATATTGCAGAGGGTAGGAGGACTTTCTTACACACTATAACATCACTCTTTAACTGTTATAATAAAAGGCTGCTTGTAGGCATGTCATTTTTATGACAAACATAGGATTCATTTTATTTATTTTATACCAAAAACTATTTCAACTGCACATATTATCGCGCCGTATGGTATAAAGCGGTTTGGCAAATTACATGACATGACATACTGTATTATCATGATAAATTATATTGTCTACTGTGTGGGAAACACAAAGGGGAATCAATTGTATCGTCTTCTACTATCGTCATCTCTGTGATCTCTACCTGTTTGTTTCTACAATGGATGGCAGTTCTCCCTTTAGACCGTCCACAATAAGTCTGTGTCACATGTTGTTGTGACACAGATGACTCCATTATTTAAAAACAAAAATGAAAATCTCACAATTTCCACCTTTTGTCCCTACAGTACTTCACTGTCAATGTTAACTTTGAAAGTACATTCTGATAGGGTAATATGAAAGACATTTGTCTTTGGTGCAGACAAAATAGTGCCACTCAAAGTTGTAGTTCTATTTTCACCACTGTTAGCAACATATAACCATATGTGTTATGCCACAGAGAGAAATAAAATGAAAAACAAGACAAAAAAACATACTTGGAATTGAAAGGTCTTTGTTGAACTTTTTTTATTGTTAGTATTGGATAAGAGAAAACAGTCAAGCATTAGATAACAACAGAAGACAAGAAAGAAAATTGAACAATTTCACGAGTTTGATAGGAGAAGTATAAAATGCAAAGAAACGGTATTTTAAAACATACACTGATACATGTAAGACACTTGGGATCTGTGTACTCTCTTTACACATCAATAGCCCATGGAATGAAAGTTCCAGGCTCAGCAGCAGGTACCTGAAAAAGCAAGACAAAAATGGCAGCCCTTAATTCTCAGCTTGCAGGATATTCAGTCACTCAATGTGCACATAAAACTTCATATAATTGCATCTTTGATACTGATAGCTTATAACATTGTATTTAAAACCTGATTTTTTCAAACTGAAGACTACTAAGACCAAGATACTGTAAGGTATGCCAGCAAAACTAAACTAAAATATGAAAAACAATGAACCCCCTACCCGAAATATCTTGATTGCATAAACATTGGGCCCTTGGAGTCCAAATGAATATTTGGTGGAAGCACCTATGGCAGCTATTACAGTTGTGATGTTTTTTGAGTAAAACAACACAACACAAGCTTGGTGCATTTTTTTACCCAGCACAAGCTTGTAGCAATTTTTGTCCATTCTTCTTGGCAGATTAGCTCAAGATCTTAAGCCTGCTTAAGAAGAGCAGTTGTCAAGTTTTTGTTTCACTGATTTACAACTGTATTTTACACAGGACTTTTATTTTCTTTTACTTCAGTGTAGCTTTTGGCATGTGCTTTTGATCATCTTTGTCCCAGTTTTAGGTCTTCAAGATTTTCCAGTAAATTGCTCTATCTATGTTCATCTTTGACAAGCTTCCTACTCCCTGCTAATGAGAAGCAGAATTATAACATCATTCCGACACTACCATGGTTGACTGTATGAATGGTTTTGACTGAGCTAGGTTTGTGTCAGATAAATTCCTTGGTACTTTGAATCACAAAGTGACAGTTTTATGGTTTTGACAGTTTTATGGTCTCATCTGACAACAAAACCTTTTGTCACAACTTTGCTGTTTCACTTAGCTACTATTTCAAATCCATACAGTTCCCCTTTGTGGAGTGAGTGGGATATTGTTGATCCAAGGACATTTTCTCCTATCTCAGCTACTGAACTTTGTAATGCTTTCAAGGTCAACATTGGACTCATATGGGCCTCCTTCATCCGTCTCATCCTTGCCCAGCTGCTCATTTTGGAGTAACTGATCTTCGCATGTCTGTGTGCGTTTCACTTTTTCATGATCAACTTCACCATGATTAAAGAAACATTAAGGGTCTAAAATGTTTTTGTACTCTTTCCCGATCTGTGCCTTTATACAGCTTTGTTCCTGTGTTGTTTTAGATGTCCTTGATCTTCATGTTCGAATCTTAAGCTTAAAAGTTGCATTTTGAATAAAGAGACAGGTGTATTTATTTTGAACCACAGTTAATGCACAAAAAAGAGGCTCCTCAATTAATACCGTATCTTGTTTTGTTAATTCTCCTTGCATAAATTAATTTAGACTGGCAACAGAAAAGAGTATGAATACTTATGCAGTCATGAAGTTTCAATTTTTCTTTCATATTATCTAAGATCTTTTTTCTGCTTTGAATGGGTGGAGTATGTTGTGTATATAACAATATTAAATGCAATTTCAAAGTGTCATGACTGCAGGCTGTCCAGAAACAAAATAAGAACTGTGCACTGAATACTTTTGCAAGGAACTGTAAAAAAAATTGACAAAATATTTTTTATTTATAAATATGAAAACAGTTCCAGATTTCCCATTAAGCACTGTAGGCACAGTGCCTAGGGCTTATGAAATTTTAAGGGCCTACGAAGGAGGGAAACACTAGTGACTAACGAAAAACAAGCTGCTTGCGATGCTTGCTTGCGATGCTTGCGATCGACTCTAGATGCTCCAAGTCAATAATCATATGCTATCTAGCGGGTGTTCTAGAAACTAGAAGTATCGAAGTGATGGTTGCTCGACTCGCTCCATCGATCATGTGGTTTAGCATTAGAACAGTTTAAAGTGCATCATGTCAATCATGTAATTTGATTGGCGTTTACCCCTCTTTTTGCACATTTCGGAGTGAAAGTGCCTAGGGCCTACTAACACCAAAATCCGGCCCTGATTACAAACGCCTTTCATTAATTGAATTAGACCTATGGGGATAGTGCAAATTACAGAAAACGGCTTTATTAAGAATAAGAAAATCATGGATAAATCGTTCATTATCATAAGTCAATGAATCACTATTCATAAGATAAGATACCACAAAGAATCAGGAGCACTCTTACACCTTCTGTGCCAGTTCACCTTGAATGTGTTACTAACATCAAAAAAGCCTCTTTGATACTTTAGCATTGGTGAGCCTGTTTTACGTACCAGAGGACCTGTTTGTTCTGGTTGTATGCAAAATCATTTCATTTGATCACCCATGCACAAGGACACTGGTATACTTTTTAGCACAACAGATCTAACCCACTTGATCTGGTTTTTATTGCATCTAAACTCCTACTGACTTTACCGAATCAATCATTGGGTTAATTGGTCTAAATTACAACTCTTGTCAAATTTTGTAGGTTATGTAAAACAAATATTTGGAACACTGGATTTCCAGGATCAGGAGTATGTATCACTGCATTCGGGATTCTTTGAACAATGTTACTTACTGGTGATCTGTTTGGAACACTCTCGAGTCTTAAATAAGAAAAATACTGTACTTTTAATCAGAAAGCCATACCATTTGTGTGAACTGATCCACACAGGCCAAGCAGATCTTCTCTGGTGTGGCTGGAGAGTTCAGGGGAAAGTTACCACTCAGCCCACTGTCTTTCCTTGCTGCAGCAATCGCCTCTTTGATGGCAAAAAAGATGGTGCACCCAAAAAATACAGTTGGCTCGCCAATGCCCTGCAATAAAGCAGCACAAGTTCCATCTCATTTAAGAACTAAACAAGGCACTTGAAATAAAACCCCTGCTTTTAACATGTAGCATAGAACACAGGTATTTCATGTCTTGAAATATATGTCTTACCTCTGAATACAAAAGGTCATAAAGAATGTGCTCCACCCTCCCTCTAAGGAACATCTTCATGAAAAAAGCCGATCAGATTGAATCCCACTCATCCTTCTAGTTGCAATATACTATAGGCTCCAAAGGCTGTCATATTTTAATGAATATCCTACATTTCATATCTAGGATCTTTGTTTGCAAAATCCTCATTTTTCCTTATTACCTGTACTATTTTGTACTTGCACTACATTCATTTCACAGAATCTAAAGCTCTCATCAGATCACATCACAGTAAAACACATTTACAATTGTATTAGTAAAATGAGTTTTATTATATGGTCTTATTTGGTTTCACTATTCAGTTTAAATATTAAATCAGATAGCTCTAATTCAGACTGCTCAGCTGAACTCAACTGTACAGTGCACGTCTATGTGGCTTTGCCACAGATTCTCTTAACTTATGGAAGTACTGTATGTGAGAAAAAGTCAAATGTAGAATCAACTTGCCTTTGAGAAGTAGATTGCATGTGGGTTAATTGAATTTGCCAGGAGAGAGACATTCAGCTGGGGTGGGATATCACAGAGCGCAGGAATTTTATAATCCGATGGGCCTCTTGTCAGAAGAACTCCCTCTGGAGAGAACTTCAGCTCCTCAATGGTGTACAGTCCAAGCCCCTGAACAAAACCCCCTTCAATCTGAAAAACAAAATAACGTTTTATATTTCTCTATGCTATTATGATCATGTATAACTAATTATATTAATAATCCTTACTGACCACCTTATTGACATTCTGACACTGATGCTACCCAGCCCTAAATTAGGTCCTGCCAGGAGGGAGTTTGATGTCCCAGGATAGACTGATTCACAAACATGACTCAGGACTCATGTCAGTTAATCAGTTTCCTTCCCAGGATCCTCACATTTCAAGGCAGTACCAGTCTTGTCATGGTTTAGTTCAAGTAGGGAGCTGCGTCAGCATGCGTAGGCTGCAAAGGAACAAGTACAGGTTTATTCCATACTGGAAAGAGGAGAAAAGAAACACAATGTTTTCGGCTGTGGAGCCTTCTTCAGGTGTTCTTCATACTCTTCTTCACACCCGAAGAAGGCCCCACAGCTGAAACATTGTGTTTCTTTTCTTCTTTTTTCAGCATGAAATAAACCTTTACTTGTTCCTGTCATAGTTTATACACATACTGTACATATACTCATATACTGTATATATGTATTATGAGTACATATATATTAATAATATACTGATTAGAATTATGACAAGAATATATTCACCTAATCTGCATACTTTTAATCCCTGTCTCATACAACATCCAGCTACAAATTATGCTGCATTTCACAATGCTAGCAAAAACAACAATTCTGTACTTTATAATAATAATAATTGCTTACACTTATATAAGGTTTTTCTGGACACTCCACTCAAAGCACTTTACAGGTAATGGGGACTCCCCTCCACCACCACCAATGTGCAGCATCCACCTGGATGATGCAACAGCATAGTGCGCCAGAACGCTCACCACACA